CAGTGGAACAAAACATGTCAAGATACGAAAACGTACTCCATGAAGTCCCGTTGGAATCGAGAGTCGAGGGTCGTGAGTCGGTCGCTTGCCTGTCGAGCTAGGTTTTCCCGAGTGATTACGGCTTCAAGGAATGAAGAAATTAATTCCATATATTATCGTGCTTTCTTAGAACTATATTATATATTTTTTCGGGGGGGTTGATCTGTGCCAACCAAGAGAACTGAAGAGCTTTTTAGATTCGTTGAAGCGTTTTTCAGTGGCCCCGGGCACATCACAATAAGTCATGAGCCTTTTTCACTTGTTTGTCCCGTGACGAAACTTGCGGCATTTTTGACCGTAGCTTGTTAAAAAGTGGGTTTTTTTCCCCTGTTTTTGCCTTATCTTCCCTCTGTTTTTCTTTACCAGACGATTAAAACAGAAGAAAACTGACCCTAAAAGTGTCCCGATTCTCAGAGGAGCTAGCATGGCCAGGAGAGGCTGATGACTTTCCCGTCAGCTTAAAGATACTAAACTGTTTGTTTATTCTTTTACATGTTTTGATTTAGAACATTTCGTGCAAATCACCAGCTAACTTTTGCCAAGAGTATTGAGTGTAGCGGCACCGCTTGCATGGGGGGGGGGCTCCTAGCCTCGGTAGGGTGGAGACGAGAAGGAACTCCTGGCAAAGGCTAGACTAGAAGTTCCTCCTTGTTTTCCTCTCCTTCCAATGACCAAGGTGTCAAAATCATGACGAAAACACCCTACAAATAGTACTAAACAAGTTATAGTTGACACCCCCGGTGTTATCAGAGGACTACATCAACACTTTTCACTGGTGTCAAAATTTTGGTGTTATTTGGTGTTACTTTTAACACCCTCCAGTGCATGGTAACACTTGAAGGTGTGCAAAGTAACACCAGCGGTGTTAAAGTTTGTACAACCATGTGCCACCATCGCGCTGGTAATTAGCGAAATACGAATATCCATTGCAATATTTTAGTGTAATTTGGTATGTAGTGAGGGTTCCTCAAAATGCCGTTATCAAGAACTGATTTGGCTACCCTCTAAACACAAGAAAATCAAATTAAAAACACATTAATTATGATGACTGCGATGATGATTACGATAATGAGAATGATTTATAGTATTAAAGGCGATGTCTGGTAACGGCCTCAACGGTTGTTGTCTCTTGTACGCGTATAGTTCTGCGAAAGGGCATGTTGTAGTTACGTGTCCACATATTAAACAGCTTGTTCACTGCGGCCATTTCTGCCCACGTGCGAATATCAAGTGCGGGGAGTTTTGATCTCACCGATGTTTAGGACTGTGCAAAACGAGCCGTCCTCTCAAATTAACTTCAACCATGTCTTTCCACTGTACTCTGTCCTGCGTGGCAAGCTCACGCCTTCCGTAAACCAAAGCATTGCATGCAGCGCGCTCTCGAATGGGAAATACAATGTAATGCAAACAATATTCTCGCCTTCATCCACAGCATGATTATTTATAATTACAACACCAGCAAAATGAGCCCGTGCGACTTAATGGCCGCTTTCAACCACTTTCTATATTTTCTGGTCAATCTCATCCACGGGATCTCCAAGGTTTCACACCACGGGCCGGCTCACTAAATTCGTCCCCCGGGTATGTCCCCCATTATCGGCCCCTCACACCGGTATCCATGGCAACAGATACCCCGTGACTCAGCCTTAAGTACATAACCGGAGCAAAACAGCGAAGAGAAGAGGGTATCAAGGAACTGGCCAGAGCTTGGCGCAAAATATTACAATTAACCGTGAGTCAGGGTAGCCAGGGCGCGTGTTATTATAGCGAGCGGCGTACTGCAGCGAGACAAGCTGAAGGTCTAACAAGATCACAGCCCCCGGGAAAAACTCCGAGCTAGTGACTGATCGGCAGAATATCGACGCAATTTGCCTTCAGAAATGGTCTTCACACTGTTTCAAATTTCACAGCGACCGCAGGGCATCCATGTTTTCAAATGAGCACTCTAACGCCAGCACGTCCGATTCTTCAAGTATCTGCCTACTTTAATTGTTAACCTTATAAATTGACGAACACGGGTGCGAGAAGGGTGTGGTTATGGACATTGGCGTCGTGAGGTGAGGGGCAAGGGGGCGCCCCCCCCAAAAAACGAAAAGGAATTATATGAGGGGGACATCGAAAAAAGGAAAGAAGAGATGAAAGCGGGTGAATACCACCAATTTGCTTGAAAACTAAACCCTATACAATTCACCCCCTCAAGCTTTTTCCATTTATAGGGTGTGAGTGCTTTTCCGTCGGAAAAAGTGGTTCCCCCTGGAAAAAAATGCTGGCTCCCTTGGTTTGGAGACAAAACAGGGAATTTCAATTTCATGCGGTTATCAGTCCTTCATTGAAAATTATGAGTGCAGCTTTTAACCCTCAAAGAGGCGGGGGGCGGAATCCGCCCCCCGGTTTATTTTTTCTTCAAGCATCTCTCTAGCTTCATTTTGACCCCAAATTTATGAAAATCAGGCGTGGCGTTCTCTCTCAGCGACGAATTTTAGAATGCTGGGTGAAGCGAGATGTGAAATTTACCATGACTGGGTACACAGCAATACACCGTACATAGGACAGAGTGGTATCCTACCATGAATAATTAATTAGTCATAATTATGCAAAGACTTAATTAATTTACATGAAATTTCACACAGATGATAAGTATGGATGCCTCTATGACACTGCCAAATTTCATTGAAATACATCATCGTATGGCCGAGATCTAGCCCCCCGGCTGTGACAAGGCCAAAATGCCCGTCTCTTTGAGGGATAAACATTAGAATTTAATCATGTATTAAATTATGGAGAAATGACCTTGAAAATTAATGTCATACAGTGCCATGTACATGCACGACGCATGTAAGTCAGTAATTCAACATGAATGAAATTAAATTGAATTCTAACATAGTTACGTTATGCTGAGATTAATTTAAGCGAATTCTCTGCTATGGTAGAGTATTTATCTTCAGTGTGATGAGCACTTAAGGTTACCTAGGCAACAGGCCAACATCAATCGATGTTGAATGGCGCTGAAGAAGCCAGGCATGTAACGTTGGAAGGAGTGATCGGTGAACATTTTAAAGCGAGAATTAGCTTCCTCCGGAGTGCACGCGTCGCTATAAAAGACTCGGCCTCGATGTAAACACACCGGTGACTCATGCATTATAAAAGAAAATTAAGGCTGTGATGAAAATGGCGTTGCCATCTCATCAAATCATGATGTCAGTGTTCCAGTTTCGATGCCGGCATTTCTTGTGTTCTTACTGCATGCATCAACAGCTCCAAAACATTTTGCTCCCGTAGTGGTTCATATTTTAAGCAGTAACATTCTGTCTTGTTTTATCAAGACTACCATAAATTCAAAATTTCAAAAATTGAATAAAGCTTCATTAATTTTGTTGTGCTTACCGTAAGCCATTTCTCGAGAACATAAAAAATCGGTGAATTAATCGATCTTTCGTGGACTCCTGAAAACGGTTATTCGTTATTAAAAGTACCAAACGTTCGTCTTTAGTTCTCAGTACATGTAGTCGACAGTCAAGCATAAAGCAACACAACAGCATCCCCTCGGATATTGTGAGGTCACGCCTCCTCCAACAGCCACACCCAGCTTATCCATGCATGCCCTCCTGTAGCGCAATACTACAAATACCGCACTGCCGCTGATCGTTCATCTTCAAGCCCAGAGCACTCAACATGGCTCGCATAAAATGGTCGCCTGCACGCACAGTGCATGCGACCGGTAATGTCCAGTGACTACATTCGCTCTTCAACAACAGTGGAACCACAAAGCACAGGCAAAGTGGTGGAACAGAGGTAACCAGAGATTCAAGAACAAAGGCTCAAGAGAAAGACCGACTTACCTGTAGGATTTCATCCTGGTGTTAAAATGTCACCTTCGTTACACTCTTCTCACGCGGCCAATCAGTTTTACATTAACGATTACACCCTCCGTTTAATTCTGGCCGAACGTAAAGTCCCACTACGCGCTATCATTCGTCACATTTTCCAGCATGCATTCCCATCCTCAATTCCACGCTCTTGTTATTCCTTGCGACCGCGGGAAACAGACGTCGTCTGCGATGAGTGACTCCACAGAACAAGACGGTATCTACAAGGAGACAAGACAAGTATTAGTTGACAGGGAGCAATGTGTAGCAACAATAGTTATGGACGGAATTGTATTTTATACACCTGGTTTCACAAAGAATTAGCAGGTAATTAAAACCAAATAAACATTTATCATATTTTTCGTTCTCCTTTGCACTACCGTCCACTAGACAAAGAAGCGTAAACAGAGGATGAATGGAAAAAATTACTGTTCTCCTCTTACTCGACTTGAATGAGTCATAATTTATTATCCATTGCGACCCATTTTATGGTTTTAGCTTTAATTAAGAATTTCTAGAAGAATCACCACAAAAAACACGAAGCAATACCACAGAAATCTTTTGAGCAATTTTTAAATATCGATTCGTAGAACGTTCTTGGGAAATGTCTAGTCGAGAGAACAAAAAAGTGAACAAAATGCCAAAGAGAGTTTCTGGAGAGGTAGCAGGGTTGGGTAAGGGTGGGTAGAGTTGGGATGGTTTGGGTTTTATTTGGATTCAAATTTGCTCATTTGTAATCCCGAAGACAGATTCGAAGCACTGACATTGAAAAATACAGAAAGGACAGGGTGAGGTGACGCAAAATATTGATAATAATTTATATTAACGAGACGGGAATGTTTTTATTTTCAAAAAGAGGGAACTATTAAAAACTAAACTAAGGTGTACTGTTTCGCAGCGTCAAAGCATCTGTGGGTATATCCACAGACACATAAACGAGGATTTTTTTTGCTCGTGTGAATTTTAATGAATTTCTCTGTTCTCTCTTCAGTGGTGTACACATCGATGTCTACATTTATCCCACATACATTATCATGAGTGTAGTTTTTGAATAGCGCCCTCTTTATGAAATTGACAATGATTGACGATCTGATGATGGCGCTGTTCTATTGCTCTCATACTGCATATCTGACGCAACTTCTACAGATATTGAAATATTTTACACCATTTCGTGTGTTTATTTCCTGGTTTTACTTCGTATTTGTCAGTAACGTCCATCAAAAGTTATGGGATGTGATGGAGGAACGATCCCAAGACGAGATGAACTCGTGAGATTGAAGAAAAAACCAGAACAGGTAGGGGGCCTAGGGTTTAAATTCAATCGGTAGGCCTAGCATGTCTAGGCGTAGCGGGTAGGCCTTGCTCTATCTATGGCATGTATGGCTAGCCCTGTGGTGTCTTTCTTTCACAATCTGTCTCTTATCTGTTGCCACCGCAGCCCTACTTCAAGGCATGTCTTAAATACCTGAAATCCAAACTGCAGGATTGTCACAAACTGTGAATCCTAATATCTTCTGAAATGAGAATGACTCAAGAATTTTACTTACACCGGCATATTCTTCAGAGTTTGGACTTTCATACAAGCACCCTAAAGCTTTCCAAAACCGTAAATTTTCCGGTGTATGGTACCTTGAAAAACCCGGCCTGTACTGTAGTATTACATGCTGACCACGGGTGACACCATTTTGAAAAACGAAGGCAGTTCTTCGTGCGTCGGAAGTCAAAGCGGCCCTATTTGTGGGGCTATGGTATGGCCTAACCGCTAACGTGTTTTTTACGAAATCAGGTTGTCTTACCATTCCTAAGTTATAGTCCAACATGTCCAAGAAAGGCTCTTTTCTAATGTTAGTTCCCACATCTCCTAAGGTTTTTTTTTACCCCCAGAACTGTGGGGTCCGACATGGAGAGGGGCGGACGTCGGACCCCACCCCGTAGGCTTTTTAACATTTGAATATCTAATGATCTATTTCTACCTCCATGATCAGGCGAGTCTTCAATTGCCATCCTGCCTTCCGGTCATTCCGGTCAGCTTAGGCCTCATGCATCCCCATGCCATGGGCATAAATGTCAGTCCGAGTAACTTGAAACAGGTTGCATCACTGAGATGTTACCTTTCGGCTGACATGGCTATATACTTGACCTTTCCCACAGGTGGATAAAAACATGGAACGGATGGCAAAATGGTTGCACTGTGCGATTAGCCAGGAAGGCCTTCGACAGCCAATCATGGCTTGTGAACTCGGAAGGTAGGCCTATCCACACAACCTCCCTCCCCCCAGCCCCTCCTACCTCCATTCTCTGGCCCCATCTTAGTTCGGTTCAGCTGCTAAAACTCAGAACTCCTGAACAGTATCCTAAACGGCATACAGAGCTTCAAACAAATGCAAAAAGTTGAAGGATAATTAAATGGTCCCTTCTAACGGACACCCTTTTACCCGTTAGTTTCCTGTTGGACATTTCTAACTTCTTTTTCCTAAACTCTCCTTTACAGATTGTACAACAAGGAATCCTTGCTTGAATACCTTCTCGATAAATCAACATGTGACTCGGCAAAACACATCCGGGGTCTTAAGGTACGATATGCCCAGGGTTTCCACTGCGTTATCCTTAAAGTTTTGATGCCCTGAGCTTCACCGAAGTGTTTTCTGTGTTTGGACTTTTGTTTTTCCTGCTCAGGATGTGAAAGAGCTGAACTTGACTCCAAACCCTGCCTTCGAGAAAAAGGGAAAACAGAAGGAAGACCTTGACAACAGCATCTCACAGTATATCTGCCCGGTGACAGGATTGCAAATGAATGGTCACTACAAGTAAGAAAATAATCTCTCCTCAGAAATCATTCCCACCATGGCTTCATTGTCTTTGTATAATTGCTCCTTCGAATTTAACATCGTATAGTTTCATTGTAAGTTGAGCCTTGAGAATATTTGTTTCCATTCATGACTTTAATAACAAATATTGAGCAATTAAAAGGCCACATTATTTGCTGGGCTACACCATTCGTAACTATTTTGTCATTTATATGTGTGTGTTAAAGGTCTTTTACAACGTAAGTGCTATTGCTCTGGTAAGATTGGAAGATGTATCTTTGCAATTAATAAATCATTTCATTATCAATGTCGGTTAGGAACCGAAGATTTTCTTTGGTTTGTGATTTTTAAGGCAAGGTATCTTTACTTTTTTTGCAAAGAGAAAGGAGTTGCCTGTCTCCTGTGCTAAGAAATGGTTGAATATTACACTGTATCTGACAGGTTCTGCTTTCTGTGGGATTGCGGCTGCGTCTTGTCAGAAAAAGCCCTGAAGGAGGTCAAGTCTGATGTTTGTCACAAGGTAACGATGCAAAAGTATCTGCAGATTTTTTTGGAGGAGGCGGGAGTTCGGGTTGCAGAGAGGAAAGATACGAGAAGACTGCAGCCTGGATACCATTTGAAACTTGAAGTGTAACCAATCTGAACACCCTAAAGTCCAAATTATTCAGGAGATCTTAAAGGATTTTGTTACTTTAGGTAGGGTTTGATGCTCTCTAAAAGTTTTAAGTGCAAAGAATGTGCTTTCGTTTTCCTGACAATTCCAGTCAGTATTTTCAATGAGAGCACACTCAGTTTTCAAAATGCTGTCACTGTGGAGCTCTGTTCTCATTTATTTCCTTCTCTCTCGTCCAGTGTGGTGCTGCCTACGATGCGGAGGATGCAGTTGTCATTAACGGCACTGCCGAAGAGATCGGTGACCTGCGAGCCAAGATGGAAGACAAAAGGGCCAGAGCCAAGGCTGAGAAGGTGAGGAGATTGGGGAGCTGGGAACAAAGTCAGATTTATCTTGTATCGGTTGCTTTCCTGAGCTCAGTTATTGGTTTCAAACATTCACTGTTTAAATCAAAATGAGGTCACGATTTTGGGGAAAAACCTTTAATCTCAATGTTGAACAGAAAATGAAAACTGTTTGTAGTGATGAACATGACAGTGAATATCAGTCTACATGCTTTTTCTTTCTTTTTAGAAAGCAAAAAAAGCACAGAAGAGAAAGTCAGACGCTCCGTGCACTGCAACCTCATCCAACACAGACGAGCAACCATCCTCATCCAAACAAGTCAGAACTGACCCAGAGAAATCGGCCAATGGCCATGCAGCATCATCCAAACTGACCAATGGAACAGCAGAAGTGCCATCCAAACTGACCAATGGCCAGGCAGCATCATCCAGATTGGCCACTGGGACGGCGGGATCGTCCTCCAAACTGGCCAGTGGGGCAAAGGCAGGATCCGGCAAATTGTCCAATGGCAGTGGGCCGTCGTTGAAATCAACCAATGGCAATGCAGACACACCCTTTGATCATAAAAAGAGTGCCGTGTACAAGTCCCTCTTCTTACCCAAAGATCAGAAGGACGTCGAGAAAGGACACTGGGTGACCTATAACCCGTACTACGCAATGTCAAAGTAGACAGATCACTCCAAAGATATTAAATCTTACCACAATTACAGATTTCATTCGGTCCGCCATCAATGAGCACCATGTTGTGTGGATATCTTGGTTTGCTTAAAGATTAACCATTGTTAGCAACAGGTGTTTTTTTAACATAGGAAAATATCCAGTTGGGGTTCAACCAACCTCTTTTTTTGAGTCTGGACTGTTTTTGGTTCTGTACATACATTTGTATTTATAGGCTTCAGACTATGTACCAATATTAAGTTCATAATTCCAAACCACTTGACTATTTTCCCATTTTTGAGGGAGTGTAATCTGGCTTCACAAAGTGCCTGACAAATGGCATTTTGGAACTCGGATATCGTCTTTTGTTGAAAACTGAAGTGTTGATGAGAGAGCACATTATACATGAAACACACAAGTGCATGTAGGAACACATGGTAACTTTTATCATATTTAGGATTTCTTGTGGACACATTTTGGTCAATAATTGATCATTAAAATTGCACACATTGTATATAATTCGTGGGGAATGTGTAAATAAATGTAAAGAAGTATGCATCTTGATTTTGGGTGTTTACCTTTGTTAAATGATGAATGTTTGAATTAAATGGCCTTTTTAAGTTTTATGGTTGAGATGAAACTTCACTAACGGCTACGACAGAATTTCAGAGGAAAAGAATTAAATATTCTGAGGCTTCGACCAGCAAACCAAAGAATTTGGCGTTTCTCACAAATTCCCACCCCTTTTAAGTTCACTTCGTAATGGGGATTGAAAACCTTGCAATACTAAAAATGGAAAAATCCCCATTTACGTTCCTGGCACCGCCCTCTGTCAAATCTAATTGGTCGTGTGCAAGATCTAAGGGAAGTGTTTGCAGCCATACGTCTGCAATAACCGCAGACTCGGGCATAATTTCAAGCCGTACCCGGCCAAGTACATGTACATGCACGTCCATTCATGGCACCTGTACCTCATTAAAAATTTAATGACATCATTTGGTCCAAAGGTCACGTCGCGGAATGCTTTTGCTTGTGGCAAAACGAAAACGGACCCATTTCAGATAACACAGAACACAATCTGGACTGATAAAAAGGGGATAAAAATAGACATCAATGATCATTTAGTCAAAATCATGACAAAATTTCATTTTTGCAGCAAAATTTCTGCCGACGGCAAGAGAAGTAGTACGAGGCGATTTACTCATTTCCGGGTTTACGCCGGTCTGTCACGTTTGCTTCCGGGTCAATTGGACATACGGTGATATCGTTAGTGGGTGTCGTTTCCGTATTCGAACTTGAACGCCATCACCGAGGTCCACGTTTGTTTTCTTAAATTTTACTCGCATAATCACCGACGACATGTCTTCTAAAAATGCGAAGGACAAAGCGAAGAATATTCAAGAAAAGTATCAGATGATACTATCGAGATTGTTACGTGAGGAAGACAATAAATATTGTGCTGATTGCGACGCGAAAGGTAGGCCTTTGCAATATAAAATGGCCAACATGGCCAAGTGATGGCCGGGTACGGCGGTTGGGATTTTGTGTGTAAATTAACCTGGCTGGATGTGCAAAATGCATCAAGTAGAAAAAATGCTTCGAAGCAGATCACTCGTTTTATCCATCCCTGTCTCCTTCTGTAACTTTAGCTCTCTGCTTTCCCGTACTCACACGGAAAAATATATTTTTTTGAACTTTGGATTTATGTCTGTCATGATCATCTGCATGTCTATTCACTGCTATTTCAATGGTCCACGGACTGTAAGCACTAACATGACCACAAACTCACTGTGCTAAGCCTAAAATGTCTGCGATAGCAAGGCCTACTTGCTGTATATTGGTAGGTATGGCATGTGTTCATCGGTTCAGCCATAGAGCAAGGAACAGATTTTATGATGGATCATGTGTCACATGATCTATCATAAATGATGTGACATAACTACTAGCTGCCAGTCATGCCAGTATAGCCAATATTGTTACTTTAAAGGAAAGAGTTCCACATACGGACATCAGACAGTAGTAATTTTCGTCTACCCGGCATGCGCAGTGACAGTCATAGGCCCCTATCATCACCATGATCTGATCATACAACCAGCTAAAAGTGATAACAAAATGTCTGAAAGACAGGAAAGAGTTAAATTGAGTAGGGAAAATGTCTAATTTCTAAGCATTTCCTTAGAAAGTGCTTGAAAGTTTCAGACCAGTCTCATCGGGTTTATGCACAGGGTGTCAAAGTTTCCATGTATGGAAATGGAAAGAATTCCGTATACGGCCGCCACTAAACTTTCCAGAAAAAGTTCTATATACGGGCGTCACTCGACACCCTGTGCAAAATCCTATGAGACTGGTCTGTAGGCTTATAGAAAGGACTTGGTTTTATGCATGCCTCCTAAATTGAACTTTTCTGAACATGATTTTGCTTTCAGATGGCCAATGGGTCACTGTAGCCTATAGGGAATAATCATTACTGGTGTCCGTACATGAAATTCTTCCCATTTTTCCGTACAGTTTAACCTATTAGCCAACTGAAAGCAGTAACTTGACGTAAAAGTCAAGTTTAGCGGGGAAAATATTGAGGTATTCACATGCAAAACATTTAGAATTTTTTGGACCAGTCTCGTAGGGTTTTCACACAGGGTGTCAAGCGGCATCTTTCCATGGAAAACTTTGGTGAAAAGGTACAGCGGCAGTGTTGGTACATTGGTTGTTTTAAGGTAGATTCCAAGTTCCACATTATTGTCTGTCAGCATACAGGTGCCGTTACGATGACCTGTACCCAGCCCCGAGTCCAAGTGAAATTGTTTGGAAAGAGATCTGTACCCCCCCCACCACCTGCCTTCCGTGATATATCTTGAAAACTACCAACAAGTGTCAATTTGATTAAAAAAACACTAAGTTAGGAGTGAAAATAATTTCAAGTTTTGTTTGAAAGTACTTTGTCATAGCCCAAAGACTCTGTGCACGAGGACTTATGTAGTGGCTAGATAGCTCTTTCTAATTAATTTTTTAAAAATTATATACACAAAGTGTTTAGCGGTACTTAAATTTCACGATACTTTTAGGCATTAATATATGTTCCATAAATCTTGAATATGATGGAAAGCCGTACATTTTTTTTATATTCTTGGAATAAGGTCCGCGATGGGCATCATGGAATCTGGGAATCTTTCTGTGTATACGATGTGCTGGTATTCATCGCAACCTGGGCGTACACGTCTCCAGGGTGAAATCGGTCAATCTGGACACTTGGACAGAGGAACAGATCACAGTGAGTCGACAGTGATATGTCTTCAGATGGGATTAATATGAAGTCAGACCATTTCTGCCTCAGATATGTAACCATTTGTTGCATTCACCGGGAAAAAAGTTAATGGCATTCTTTTCCCCAAACAGAAGTTGGCTTGACCTTCTGGCAACCTGCTGTGAATTGTTCCTTGTTTCTTCTGAATAGAAACAAGAAATGACAACAAATGGTTCCAAATACACACATATCAGTGTTGTTTACAAAAATGTTATGTAGTTCTTGAGAATTCTCAGCAGAATGTAGCGAAGCAATTTTTTATATGGCTTCCCTATTTGAGACACATGACAGATTGTAAAAAAAAAAATTGAATACAAAGTAATTCACGCTTCAGTGTGTCCGTGTTACTATGGAGATTGGTCCAATCCACTTTTTACAGAGCATTGAAAATGGAGGGAACACCCTTGGCCGGAGGATCTACGAGAAACACCTCCCCGCGGACTTCAGACGGCCCACGGCCGATTCGTATCCTTTGACAAAAATCCACAAACAAAGAATCCCGGCGTCAGTTCGGAGGGAGACACATCGTCCAATCAATAACCGAAGTCAGATGATGTCATGAATTACTGTATTTGTCCATTCAAAGGTTGCATGTGACGGTATGGCCACGCCCTAATCACTTGGTTATGCTGTGAAAATACACCAAATGATTGGAACTGGCTTAGATTTGTGTGTGAACTCAAGCTGCAGCCAAGTCATCGGAAACGGCCCAAGATCTGTCTAGTAGCCTCCTTGACAGTCTCTAATCAGGAGCTCCTTGGAGCACTTCATCCGGGCCAAGTATGAACACAAGAAATACATGGATAAAGATTTTGTCCGTCCAGCCCCAAAGGTAATAGTTTGTCCACTGGTAAACCCCAGGACAATGAAAAATAATATTGCATGGGCCCTCATGCTGTTTGGAAGCTCACCTCCAAGAGTCCATTCCATTTTTTCCTAGTTTACATTATACATGGGCTGATCGATATTGCATGATGTGAGCTGCACTCTTCCACGTAACTTGTTTCAATGTTTCAGAGGATACAAGATATTGAAGTCAGCGACAAAAAGGAGAAGAAGAACATTGGCACGGCGAGGCAAAAACAGACACTGGTGGCCTTGGCGAAATCCAAAGAGGTAAGCTGAAGATTGGTAGAATGTGGGAATAAATGAGCGATAGCTGAGATATCAGGGAGGGATCTCAGAGTGTGTCTGAGTCTTGTGTTTAGTGCTAGGTCTAGATCGGAGATGGTTTTGAATAACACGTGAGTACGCGCTGATCACGTGCTGATCACGGACTCGGCCGTGGAAGCCCACTTCGAATACATCGTCAGGACTGAGAAGCATTGTAAGACTTTCTCTTTGAATCCCAACCCAAAATGATGAGTCTTTGATTTTCTTGCCTACGCTCTGCCCCCTCACCAGTCTCCCACCAAATTTTCTCGTTGACTGTAGAGCGTACCACGGCCTCACGCCACCAACCTCCAGCCTTCATCGGCCGTCCCTCTATCATCGACGCTGTCCCAGTCCTCGCCCAACCTGGTCGCCGCTGACCATCCACATTCCACATCAGTCAAGACAGTCGCCTCCACCAACGACTTACTAGGACTGTGTAAGCAACATATTGTAGTAATTGAATTGAAATGCCCAGAAACTTCCGAACTGGCTTCAGAGCATCTTTCAAAAATCCACCCAGACCAACCTGAGAAATCGTTGGAAATCCACGTTGTAGTTTGGGAAGATTTTTGCTGATTTCATGAAAGTCATTCACCACTCTCACTCAACAAGGAGTTCAGTGAACTTTTGAAGATTGAAGTCAAAAGAATGCGCCATTTGTTTTTGGCACAGTGGTGAATTTTGGAAGCTGTAAGTACAGGCAGGTGTGTAGCTTAGGGTTGTAAAAAGATTCCAAAACTGTTAATCATAGGCTGTTTAATTTCATCAGACTACAACAGCTTGATAAGTTGGGCCCGCACTTAAGTCATCATCCAGTTGAAATGGATGCGATATCCAGACACTTTGTCATCCATTCAGTGGATGATTCGAGAATGGTTTTAATGTTGACCCTTGACGCTCTGATCCCTTTGCCAGCCGATAACGTGGACGACCTCCTGGGGCTGGACACCCCAACCACCAGCGCCACCACAATCAGCCAATCGGCCACCAACAATGGAACGTCAGAAGGCGTGGTGGAGACGTCACTGTTCGGCGAAGAAACCGAGACAGGGAATGCTACCGGCAAGAAGACCAAAGACTCTATCATGGCGCTGTTTGCCACCTCCTCTGGACAACAGCAGCAGCCCGCTTACAACGTCCCAGGTATAAAAGGCACTGCTAAGTTCCTCATATTGGCCGTGATATTGAACTCTCAAATATGCAAAACCAGTCCAACACTGTCAGTATAGTCTTATATCTTATATGATACATATATATATAATGATGCTAATATAATATATTCTTATATCCAATATTAGTCTTATTAGATATTGGTATTAGATTTTATCAGTGGAAAGAAAATTCCAGAATGGGATATATAATATGTTGTATTGCTGGAAGGTCGTTGAAAGAGAGAAGATGATACAGAAATATTCAGTTTAGAGGTAGGAAGAAGACGTTTTGTGATTTCGAGGAAGACTTAGGAAATGAGGAAGAAATTACATGGTGACTAATATTCAATCCCTTGTCAGCAGTGAAGGGACTCGAACCCCCGTCGTCCACCTGAAAGTAAAGCATTTCTTTGTTGTTTATCTTACAGGCGGCATGTACATTCCATCCCAGAAGCAGCAGCCGTTTGTTGCTAATGGTTACCCGGCCAACTCTGCCATGCCGGGCTACCAGATGCCCCCACAACAACAGCAGCAGCAGATGCAGCCGAACGCGGGCATGCCGGCTTACCAACAGCAAGGCTACGGCATGATGAACAACCCGGGCATGATGGGACAGCAGCAAGGCATGATGGGTAATCCGGGCATGATGGGAATGCAAGGGATGTACGCCACACAGGCCGCGCAACAGTCGGCTTATCTCCAGCAGGTGCGTGCAGTGTACTTTATCTCTTTCTCTGAAAACTCTTTTGAAGAGGGAAAACCGGAAGTGGGCTTTTATGGAAGTGGGCTTTCTCAATACACAGGCGTTAAATTATCTTGTCCAAACCGGTGTGCATTGATGTGTCAGTGAGAGAAATTTCGTTGAATTGAAATCTTTCAGATTTTACAGCCAGTCTTTTGCTGCAGCTGAAAGGATATTTTTTCTCTGTTGTTTTTTGCAAATGCTCAAAATTGACTTAGCAAAGAAAATCCCCCACTTGGCAAAAGGAAAAAACCCACAAATTTTCTGCAGTGCATTTTGCTGACGTGTGCTTATATTTATTTATGCTTTCTCAAAAGAGTGAAAATCCTTGAATAAAATTATCTTGCTTTCATGATACGAGCACAAAATCAGGTTTTCAATATAAAATAAGGTTTTAAAATCGACACTCTATTGTACATGTAAAATACAACAGATGGAATTCCCAAGTACGGAAAAGAAACACCATGAAGTTTTAAAAGGCTATCCTGTTAAACTGTTTGTCGGTGGCAGATGAATTCAAACTGGACACTCATGTTCCTGTTCTTTCTGAAAACTCTGTTTTCTGTTTCTCTCTGCAAAGGTTTCATAAAGCATTCTCAACATGATTTGTCGTATTTATCTGTATGGCACTTTTTTCCGTCCATGTTTGAACAAGAAGACAAACATGTATTCAAAACAGAAGTGAGCTTTGAACTGAAGCTCACACAATCACTTGATCTATGTGTATTTTGCATTGCGTTTACCGTCTACATGGTTATCCGTGTATATTTAGGTTTGAAGTCCAGTTTCACTATTTGTAGATCATTAATTTCTCAGCCATGGCTGTATTTAGGGCTGTGCAGGATATCCAAATATTCAATTGATTATCAAATGTTCCAATGATCTTTTCTGAATTTAAATATTCAAATGCAAAATTCATGAAGAGGAACGGCGAATTTTCTTTTGTTTAAAATGAGAAAAATTGCACTATGGAGGCTTGTTTCAAGCAGATTCAAATGAAAAGCAACAGAAATCTTACAGTGATTCTAAAATAAATAATTCACTAACCCTAACAGTCCCAAATCCTCCAATTTCAATTCAATTTTACATACACCCTTGGGGGTTAAGGTTAAAAAAATTTAAAAGGAATAAAATGTCGACAGGGCAAGAAGTATTGTTCCAGGTGTAAGGAGCTATTATAGTGATTATAATGTAAAATTGTGTGCGTTATTGCAGCTGATTTTTTATAACAATCTGCCAGTTGGTATGACCGAATAATTTGATATTCCATCAAATTGATTCAGCTCTAGTTGTATTTGCCTTTGAAAGTCAAGTTCAAAGGCTTTGATGTTCTACTGCAGAGTTTTATAAAAAATAAGATACATTGTTGGCAGGAGTAGCCAGGGATACATAATGGCAGGGTATTTCCAAGTTAATTGTAAAGCGAGTGTGAGTCTAAGCCTAGCAAATTTGTCAGTTCTCTAAAGAGTGGAGATACATGTATTTGTCCTGATTAAGGGTACTTTAACATGCATGGATGCCAGTGTTTCTGGCCAAAGCCTGATTTCAGACTTTTCCAAACACCAGTGTTATTTCAGGCCTTGAGGTACACTTGAGCTCCTCTGACGTTATTGTCAGGTTCTAGCCAGGAACTCAACTGACATCCCTGATTATTAAATCCTATCATCTGAATGTAACAGTTCAAAATTATATTCATTTTTTGTCACGAAGGATATAACATCCATTAGCTACTTGCATTGCATTGCAAAGTGACGACCGTTTGGCGGCATCTCCAACGGAGAATTATCTTCTATGTCGCTGTGGTTTTATGTACGATTTGGACTACCAACATCTGTATTGTGAGTCAGGCGCATTATGCTCTTGTGTTTACTTGTACGTACTCGGTACGCCACACGTACACTGGCTAACAAGTGCACTCCGTCTTGTTCGTGCATTGAGTCCAGTTCAAGAGCTATGACAGAAATTCAAGACCTTGATTTAAGAAACAAGATTTCCTGACCGCAAGTGATGCCCGCTAACTAATCTGGCAACTAACCGTGCAATTATCATGCAGCAGCAGCAACAACAGCAGCAACAACAACAACAACAACAACAGCAGCAGTTTCAGCTGATGCAACAGCAGATGACACAGCAGGTTGGGGCACGTTTCCAATCATTCCCTCCTGTTGGTGTTTCACCCCCCCCTCCTCCTCTCCCCAACTCCGCCCCCTCCCCTTTTTTTATTTTTAGTACTCCTGGTGGTGGTAATGGTGTAAACGTTGTTTAAGGCGAAATGTTCGACCCCTGAATCCCACTAAATTTGAACCCTGCATGAACAGAAGGTCTTCTGTCTGGTGTTACTTCAAGCAGGCTTTCAGCTGGAAGTTGTTCTTTTTCAGCAAAGTTTTTAGCGTAAAAAAAGTGGAGAAAAAATGGACAAGCGGATGTTGTCAGTCAACGCAAGAGAAGTTAGGATCAGCAGAAGATTCAGTACCTGAGCCTTGCCGATATTCAAGTCAAAGACATCAATCTCAGTTAACTCACATGGTCGCTCATGATTCCTTTGAAAATCACACTTGACATATTTTTTGGTTGACAGTGTTTGTATATCGGTGTAGTGTACAGTACACATCTCTTTCTATTCCGCACCCGGCATGCTTTCCTTTTTTCATGGTGTTGATTTGTTACCATGACTGTTAACTTTCATTTTCAGAACATTCAGTGTTGTCATGAAATGTACATCGCACTCACACCCAGTGGTCCTTCTTAAAATAATGAGTTATAATAAAGTTGAGCAATTTTCTCAGCATGCAGTACATTTGTATTTAATATTTGAAAGTCAGAATTTGACGAGCACCAGCTTTTCCCTACGGTTGAAAGGGCATGTGATCTGCTGTGTTTTTTGTTTAGAGTAATTTTGTAACCGACTTGAACAAAGTCAGATGAGTTTCTCTGAAAGCTGTATTGTTAAACTAAAATACAAGCTTCACAAATACAGTTTATTAAGAGGAGAAGTTCTCATCAGATTTTGAACAGAAATTCCTTTTTGTCCATTCAGTTCTGTTGTAAAATCCTTGTGTACTTGTATGCATATGTACATGTAAAGTATATCTTATGGTTTGTGTTTTATGTCCTACTCTTTTAATACTTCCCTACTATCTAACAAGCCCTATGATTGGTTGATTTGTTTGGTCACATGATAGTACCAGCAATGGCAGTATATGCAGCAGATGCAGTTGCAGCAACAGCAACAGTACAATTTGGACCTCCAGGTATTGTCGCCATGGCAACCATATTGGTGGCGGTCTTTCAAGCCCAACAAAAATTTGCATGTCACAGACAGAGCTTGTTACTAGTTGAAGAAAATTTGGATGTATATTGAACTGTAAATGGGTCATTTGCATGAAAGGCGAAGGAAAAAGACACCGCAGCAATTTCTTTATGATTGTTGACATGTCATAGTAATACTGTTTCCACGTACAGGGATATCACTGATAGAGACATTGTTTACGTGTCGTAGTAATACTGTTTCCACGTACAGGGATATCACTGATAGAGACATTTTTAAGAGACAGACTGTTTCATGCTTGTATCGAATCAAACCTGTTGGGACTCTGTTATGCACCTGTCGGACATTGGTATGTAGCTCTTCCAGCCATCGTCGTTGGCATTCATTTCTTTGTGAAAGGGTTTTTAAACAGTCGGTGAAAAATACGGGCCAAACTTCATGGAGGACATTGCCCCAGATGCAGGCATACATACATGTACATGGAGGCCTGTAGAGTCTACGTACAGGCTCTCAAAACATAAATGAAAGGGGAAAATGACAGGAGACTTCAATTTTCAGTCAGGCGGCTCAGGCCATGTCTGAATCACGTCTCTAGGGCAAGATCTTTGTTACTTCATTACTCGCTTGCTTACCTGATTACTTGTAACTGTGCTCTGCGCTGGCCTTCTGCTCGTTAATTTCCCATGATGCGCTTGGAGTGAACTGTGAATTTGTTAATTCCCTTCTGGTCTTCTCGGATGGTGCATGTTGTATCCTTGTGGCTGGACCTCCCTCCTCTGTGATCAGACAGGGTCATGTTACTTGTCAGCAAACGACTCAACCCCACACATACCATAGTTGCATGTACATTTTATATGTCTTTGTGTAAGAGCTTTGTCAGGGGCGTGGCTTTAACCACAATGTCCTTTATTTTGGGAGGAAGGGTTTTGCTTGATAGTTGATGTAGTCAAAAGATATAACTAAACTTTGACGACATGTATGCCGTACATTTCATATCTGTTGAAAGAAAAGAGCTGATTTTTGTGTGCGGAAAAGGCAAGAAAGCTTGGAACTATTTTCATGGACGAAAGACAAACTGAAAAACTTTTTGATCTGAATTTGATAGATCCAGCAGCAAATGAACTCAATGCGCATGGGCGGCGGCGGAGCCACCAACCCCCCTGCCGGACAAGTGCAGCAGCCCAACTGGCAACAGGGCAGCACCGGGATGCCCCAGCAACAGCCCGCCCCAACAGCCATGGCGGGGGTTGGCAGCATGGGCGGATGGGGAGGGGCCGGATCGGGGCAGACACTCAGCAACCAGCTGTGGAAATGATAACAATGCAAGTGGGGTGATACGCTGTCTGTCACGAAGGACTGGTGGGAAATCAACATATCTGGTGGATTATGGTGCAATCTTGGCTTCATTTTGAGGTTACAAAGGTGATAAATGCATGTACGCGTTTCCATTTTCTTGTATTTCAAAATTGTTGAGTTCTGCGCAGCAGTTACAGCATGGAGATTTAGTCAGAGTAATGTTTTCATAAGGATGCCCCTTTAAGAACCAGTCCCCCCCCCAAAAAAAAATATGTTTGCACCGTAGTCCACCAGTTGTGCCCAGTTGTACATTTATTTCCAAGACCATGTACATAAACATATATATGTATTACTGTACAGACAATAATGTTGCTGTAATGTTGACCGTACAGGTAGGCGGCAGGGCAGAACTGCTGGGGGAAAAGATATTGTCAGTTGGAGTCAAACCTTCCAGTAACCACGTGCAGTCTTGATCTGCTTTGTGCGTAGTTGGTAGAAAATGTTTGACCGTGCCTGAAAGATAGCAAGGCTTTTGCCTGTACATGTAGACTAGTGAGCACTCTCATAACCAGAGAGTTCACTGACCACAAGGAAAGCATATCTTGTGAGTAGGACGCATAGGCTGTACACAGATGTCAGTTACACTCGGTAAGAATTGGCCTTTTTTTCTAGTCGGCCATCTTGAATCAAAAGCAAATCGATTTCCGTAGAACGTTTCTAATCATAGGGCAGATTATTAATTACCATCCTTTTGGTTTGACGGGTAGTTCCGAATTGTGGATAAAAAGCCAGGTCACTCTTCTCTTGACCGTGTAAAAATAATTTCAAAGTGAGGCTATACCTTTAATTACAGGAAAATAGTCCGGTTCCTTGCCATGCCACAGTGTTCAGTGCATAAAGTGGATTCAGGGAACACAAAATGGCCAACTTGTACACGAAGCCAATTCTTAGGCCGTGTCCAGATTACTTGGCTGCGCCCAGAAATGACACAGGAGTCTGTGGAGGTGACTGCGGCCGGTTACCACTGAGTCGTGTGTAATTTGGGACGCGGCCTTAAGCTGTGTTTTCATCAGAGGTAGAGTTAGTGTCAGTTACACACACACACAGAGAAAAAACTAGATACAGAAGACTGTGGGCAAAACCTGGGAGTGGTGGGGAGTCAGGTCGTGAAGGGACTAGTGCTTTCAATTGAAATGTTGATGGGGAAATCACTGGTTCTACAGAGAACCTTCAAAACTGTAAATGAAGATAGGAAGTGGTTGACAGTGACTTCTACTTACATTGTACCTGCCCGAGGCTTCATTTCTTGTCTTGTAAAATTGTAACATTTGTGTTCATATATTGTTTTTAATGTGAACGTGGTTTGATCGGTGAACTTGATTTTTTTTTGGTACTCCTGTGTAAAAATGAATCAAAAGTTGCATTAGATTTAGAGAAATACCTAAAGGCCCCTTTTGTTGTACAAGACAAATCATGTAAATTACAGATTTCAGAGCAGTGAAAATTTGCCCCAAAGGGGCAGAGCTTGGAATTGGAGATGGGCGTGATATTTCACTGTCGGTCTCTTTATGTAATTCCATGAAAGGCGTACATACAGCATAGTAGTGGAACGGTTTTCAAAGGCTACTTGGGGATTAGCCTGGGCCTTGTGTACATGTGGTGACTGTAATTATTCAGAATGGCAAAAACCAAGCTAGCGTTTCCACTTATGGCATCTTGTCCATGGACGACTAAAACTTTCAACCCTTGTCAGCTGTGGACAGCAACAGTGAAAACTTGAATCACGTATCTTACAAATACAGATAGTTTGTGTTAAAATAATGAAGACACCTTTTAAGGCTTCATATCAATTTGGGGGTTTGAAAGAAATTCAAATTGTATGATCATTTGTGAATATGTTTCCAGAGTAGGCCTGGCTTATTTTTCTTTACTTTATAGGGCAAATAGTGTACATAGTAATTATGACAGTTTTAAAATATGACTTTCACAAATTCCATTTTTTTTCCTTGTGCTGGTAACGGATATCTTTCCGCTCCACTCATTTCTTTTCCTGGTTCAAAGTGTACAGTGTACAAAAAGTAAGTATACCAATAAATGTGGAAAGCGTACGCAGAACTTTGGAGTTACCATTGTCAATGGTAAAATTTGCTACACGGCTTATGCAGAGATTCATGCAGTACTGCTTTGTACGCATAGGGGCTTGGGATGTGATGTATTTGAGTCATTCTGTGAGGTTGGGGCACAGTTTGTCATGGTGTCAGTTGTTACATCGGTTCTGTAAAAAGAACATCTATTTCCCTGCATGTGGATTCCAAATTGACATTGTTATACATCTTGCAAGGCTGAATACAGAGGTGTGTGTTATTTTGACAGAGTAAATGACCTACTCTACAGGTCATGACAGGTGGTAACAGGTTTGGGATGTAACAAGGACACCGTCACAAATTGTGCCCCAACCTAATGGAATGACCCATTTCGAAACAAGTGTAAAATCAGTGTGTGTGTGTCATCAGTATTCAATTATCCATCAGACTGAAACCTCCAATTCCGCAAAACCCTGTAAAATCACCATGTACTTATCTTTTGCGTATTGTGCACCCTGTTGTCTTCTTAGTGGTAAAAACCCATATGTGTATCTATGATTTGTGAGTTATATTACTCCTTGTAGGCAAAACTTAGCACTATTTACGTGAGCTGTTATATTTGTATATCCAGCAAGAAATGAGACCAAGGGGTACCCCCCCAACATGTCCAATCGCTTTACACACTCTAGACTATTGTTACCTAACACATCCCCCCAAGATGTCTGAAAAGATTTGCTCAGATTCCAGTGAGACAATGACCAACACAAAGCAGGGGGGAGGGGGCTCTCTTCGTCTCATATCTTGCTTCATATGTCGATTTGAGCTGCCATGTACAGTTTTAGAAATGACCAGTTTCGTCTTGTCGGTGCATGTGGATTGATTTTGCTCCCCTTTATACCCCAACCAAGGCTGACATCTTGAAAATGTGTACTGTAGATACTGCCGTAAAAATGAAATTTGTGGAAATTCTGGGACAAACACTGTGCATTCAGGCAAAATGGTACTGCTGAAATCTGTAAATATTTTGGCATAAAAATGTTTGAGCTCATGTAACTAGCACAAAGACAGCAAGAATTCTGCTTGTACCAGTTCAGTCAATCAAAAATTATAAATGAAGTATTGTTGTCGGCGGCTCATTTCAGATGCCAACTTTCAATGTCATCCAGGATGTTTCAACTTTTCAAAAGAGTTTAGCAAGCATGGTTTTCAGGCAAGCATTTTAACTTTTATCGACGGCAGCCATCTTGTCATACACAGGTCAATGAGGCTAATGAAGACCGAGGCTTGTGTAGACTAGAAATGTGTCCAAAAAATTGGACAGCTGCTTCCAAATTGACACCACGTTTCACAAAATGAAGAAAGTCCAATGAGAACTATATGTAAGACTGGGCATTTTTAAGAAAGAAAAATGGAATCTTTTTGCTTGAGTTGTACAATTGTAGACTACTTTTCAAAGGGGCGGCCTGTGTTACTTGTGGGAGTTTGTGGTGAAATCTTACAAAGCTCATTCCATAGGATTTAGTTTGTATCTACATGTGGGCAGGGACGGTCATTTACAACTTGTAAATTTAACCTGAAAAATATTTTCACAGAGAGACCAATTCTTGTCAGGCTTAATAAGAAAGTTTTCTTGGGTTATCATTAAAGATTGTTATGGTTGTAATGAAATAATGTTAACTAGTTAATTGGTGTAAGTGTAAATGAATGTCACCAATGGGACCTGGAATCTGTTTATCACTGTAAGATGTCAATTGTTGAGCTTAAATTTAAATTCACTGAATAAAAGCATAACTAAGCAAAAGTGTGAGATATCGATATTTTTTCCCTTCCTCAATACGTTGATGCCACAAAATCAAATTTCAGCGTTCCTGTTGTAAGACATCTCCCTCATGGGACAAGCAGACACAAGAAATAGTCAAAAGGGCTAGTTCGAGAATGCAAAGGCTGTGACAACTAATTTCTTTTAACTTATTTCAACACGACCTTATTATCATATACACGTGTGCTGGTAACATATACTCGGCCTCTCCTTGAGTATGCTGCATGTGTTTGGCATTCAGCCCTCACACGTGCCCAGACCAACCAAATCGAGAGGGTTCAGCATTTTAGGATTCCGTTACAAATCTTACCATGATAATTTGACCCAGACTTGACTTGAAAAACTGTGACAAAAGGACTTTGTCACAAATTTACTCAATCACTTGGCAAACCCTCCAGTTCTTGTCGCTGGTTAGTGTCAAATAATGCAGCAACGATGAGACTACGAAATCCTAACCTATTCAACCAAGTTACGTGCAGAACTGAGCGGTACAGAAGTGTGATTCCCTCCTTCATTAGGCTCATATTTTAAGAGACTGGAACCGGGTACCAGGAGAAGATGATTTATGTTAATAAGTATCATTTTTAGTCATTTATTTTTTTCTTTTCGTGTTCATGTTATGTGTTTTAGAAAATATTAATAATCATAGTATTTCAATGTAATTTTGTCTTTCAATCCCTATTTTATCATAAGATCATCTGCATTTTGGCCTGTATGGCTGCAAAGATGATTTTAATAAAACCTAGAGGAGAATTTAAAAAACTTCAAGGACAGGAACTCTATGGGCAAGGGGTAAACAGGGCTTTGAAAATATAAACTTGCACTGCTATTTGACCCTACGTCTGATCTTCAGCAATATTAGTGCATTTTGATCTACATGATTTTGACCAGTTTTGCTTTCAAGTGTGGAAAAAAATCCTGGCGACTCGCTAATGCAATGTGCAACTTCCGAGAAAATAGAGTAACTTCTCTCAAATTACACCACGTTCATTTTTAATCTGGAGGGAGAGGGGACTCGAACTGGTTCTCCACACTGCAGGCAGGAAAGCACTTATGACATATTTCAGTTGGTATTTATTTCGCAGTACAGACAACAGATAAAGTTGCAATCTACATTGGCTTATGATTAGCAAGTTGTTTTACAAAGTCGCTTGATTGTCTAGGAGTGGTTTCATGCAATCACTAAAGCTGGAAAATGTAATATTCAAATTATACTTGCTTGTGTGGTTACAATACTTTGAGGCTGAGGAACAGAGTGGCTGCAAAGTTTAGGGATTAGACTATACTGGTACAGGGCAAAAAGTGGATTACTGTGATCATGATGGGAAGATCCAAATTTTATTTTAAATTGTTGAACCAAGAACAGACACAACGTGCCAGGCGTGTCATCCGAACAAGCCTGCGAAAGACACACACAGAAAAAAAACAAAAGAACATAAAGAACAAAAATATTGACAAATACAGAAAATGCCGCGTAGGCGCTTTGGAGGAGTCCACACTAATAAAAGTTCATATTATGCAGGTTGTCTAGCGATTCTTTGCTGTGACAAGTAGTTTTTACACATAATGACATTCCTGGCTTCATGCTAGTTTCAAGTCTCACCTTGTTTCACGGGATGTACAACATGAGATTAGGCGACTCTGGTCCAGGGTTCTTGACCACGTCCCGTGTGCCATTGTCCAAAATCTTGGCTTTGACTTGGGCGGATGTCAGCTCAGGGTTATTGCCAACAGCAAGGATAGCTCCACCTACGCATTGCATATTATTTGTTGAAAAGTTAAATGTAAACCATTTTCCCAATTGCGACTTTGTTTCAAGTATATCTTTTACTGAGACTTCAGAATATTTATGACCACTTGATAGTCCCCGTTCCCTGAACTTTGGCCCTATATTAAACAATTTCATGTCTCTGCGATGCAAGATGGAGCAACGCAGAGTAAATCGCCCTATGTAATGAAATACGTCATTAACATGTACCAATTCAGACTGGATTCTCCAAATTCTAACAGTAACCTGACCTGTGACATGAGGGCATGCCATGGATGTCCCACTGATCGTGTTGACGGCATGTGTGCCATCTATCCATAGGCTCGGAATGTCGACGCCTGGTGCAAAGATGTCTACGCACTTCCCATAGTTGGAGAAGGCAGCCTTCTGGTCCTCTATGTCCGTGGCCCCAACAGTGATGGCCTAACAGTCAATACCAGAAAAACCAACAGTCAATACAAGATAATCAATAATCTTTCATCAATAAGTTTAGGCTGGATTAATTTTTGTCATAAATGTATCTACAGATTCCAGTGCACCTAAGACAGCACAAGTGTCTCTAAGAAGCATTCACTGTGTTGATGCCAACATAAGTATTTCTCGTTGGGGGAGAAAAAAGACTTGGGAGTAAGTGATGACCACGGATAACAGACAGGAAAACGGGAACGTCTCCAAGTTTCCAGTGCTATGGTCTTTCAACTTTTCTTTAATACCTCCTTTGCTCTGGCTGGGGAAGAGCTGCATGCATCCCCGTAACTGTTACCGGCGGCGACGGACACTGTGACATCCGCATCGAAGAGCCTGGCGACAGCTTCGTCCATGGCTGTGGAGGCCCCTCCACCGAGAGACATAGAGGCGACGGCCGGCCGCTCGCCCTCCTTGGCAACAAAGTCCATTCCTGCAAATTAAAGATGGTAATTAAAACAAAAAAAGTGAACAAATCTTCTTGCGGAAAGCATGGCCGTAAATCCCGCGGGGATGGGGGTATATATCCTTATATATCCCCACATTTTTTGACAGGGACAGCTATTGAATCATGTCCACCCTACTTTTTTGTGATGAGCCAAAACAATGAAGTGGATTGTGAAGAATTTTCCGAATTTCCCAAAGACTAAATGTTGCACTATATCACTAAAAGGGAAAGCATTTTGAAAAAGCCATAAATATGCCATTTTGATGTAAGATTCTGCATGAATTTGATACACATTATACAGATGTACGTCTTTATCATGAACATCGCCCTCTATATATCGTATGTGGGGAACCCCCTCCATTCCCCCATTCCCCCCCCCCCATTCCCCATGCCCCCATTTCCAACACAGATTTACGCCACTGGCGGAGAGGCAACCTATGTCCATTCTGGCCAAAAATTTTGAAGATGGACAAAAGTTTCTTTGAGGTTTTGATCTTTTGCAAACTATGTCATCTGGCCTGCCTCCTTCCTGTATAAAGGATAATGTTTTGGGGACGAGACAGAGTTTAGCAGAAGTAAAATTGCGAAAAATACATTTGAGGAATCACTAATCATCTCTGATTATTCTCCAATCCAAGGAACCTAAACTGAAGAAGATATAAGAACAGAAGAGAAACTTCAGCTTCAACAATGGATACGATTATGCACCGTCAATGACACCAGCGGTTGTTCCTGATCCGCCGCATCCCAGCACCTTCACCCCAAAGAGGTTGGCTTCCCTGGCGATGCCAAACACTTCCCCACCCACGGTCCCGGCGCAGTGAGTTCCATGCCCGTTGCAGTCCAGTCCCTACAAAGACACAAAAATCAACATGGCTTTCACTGTTTGAAATGTCGCATTTGGAACATTTTGTCCAATTTGCTCGTTCGAGAATGCATCGACCTGTTTGATAGAACGTATACATTTCTGTCCTTACCCCATACTTATCTTTGACTGCATCGTATGCGATGTAGGCACGGTCTGAGAAAAAGAGGTTCTTGGGATAGACCCCTGTGTCGATGATGTAGGCATTGGTGCCTTTGCCGGTACCTACAAAAAGAAACCAGAACAGTTTACGTTCAAATTACCATGACCTCCCATTTCGCCCTGAAAGTTGCGGTTGCAAAATTGGAGCTTAAAATGAAGCTTCAAGAGTTTTCACATTATCTGGATGGCTGAGTGCTACTAGTGCCAAGGAGATTTTAGGGGCGTGTAGCAAAGCCCCCTGCATACCGTGGAAGATTGCCTTTCCGTTCAATGGAAGTGTCCTCTGGTCCACGCGGTCCAGACCCCAGGAGGCCACCCAGAGAGCACGGACGACAGAGTCCTGCTCCACGTAGGCAACTTCTGGCATTTTACGGATCTAGGGTGAATCAAGCATCATTTCAGAGTTCATGCATTTAAAAATTATAAATTTAGGGATGAGATTGAGGGAGAAAAATGATTTATTCAGCCATGAATAATATCGGGAATGTTATTAGCTGACATGGGATAGCTTCTCTCACAAAACAGCAAAAAATAACAAAAACTGAACGATTCAACCTAAAAATATCCATAATTTGTCGAGTCAAAAAATCCTGAAGAAATCACATCCAACAAAGAAGAACTTACTTCAGCTAGCTGGACAGTGCTCATTTGAGCAGCGAATCCCTTGAAGGCACCGTCTCGATAGCGGATCTTTGGTATGATGGAGACGCTGGCACTAGCCTTGTCAAAGCTGGCTATGAATTCATCCACAGTTCGGCTCTCTTCCTGGGTATTTCAATATTTCAGGAGGAAAAACCATGTCCTTTAGCTCTCGATTAGTTTTTTCAATTTTAGACAGACTGCGAACTTGCCGTTATGCTCCCGGCGGTGGTTGTGCCTATGGCATGGGTTTCACTTTTCTGTTTGATTGCAGATCTCGCTGCTGTAGAGTGACACATTACTATTGGAGTTCTTGGCAAAAGAGTTTTCTGTAAAGTATTCCGTGATGAATTTAGCATTAAGAACAAGAACCACAGATCAAGTTTATCTTGCATTTTACGTTAATTAAAGGTACAATCCATTAAATGATGTTCCTTTGAGGAGCCAAAATTACAGTGCTATAGAACAAACCTTCTGAAGTGTCAGCTCAGTGAATACCATACTGTCTATTCCGAGACAAACAGTATTTTAACAAATATTTATTTTCCCCTACCTCAAAAAACCCAACACTTAAAAGCTGTGAAAGTTTCAAAATAAATTTATTCTGTCCGTCTATATTTCCATTGTCAACTTTATTAGTGCATTTATTAATCTCATGAATTTATTTTCCTGTAACAGTTCATCATTTGTAAGGCTATGATTTAGTTACTAAAAAGAGTGTTTTAAATGCTGGTCACTCTTGTTATTATTTATCTGAAGTGATTCTAAGTTTCTCATTTTAAATTTTTCTCCTTTTTAATGTCAGGCTTTTAGAAAAAAAATACGCAGACATTTATGGGTTGAAACGTTTGTGCACCTCCCTTAGTTTAGCACCACACCAGACTACGTAGCGCTTGAACGTACCGTGAGGGCCACAATATACTGGCCCTGAATTCCATCTACCAGATGTGTGTAGAGGGGAGCTATGTCGGCCACGGCACAGACAACAAGAGCAAAAAGAAGGAAAAGGCGCATCTTGAAGGCTCACTTGGCAGATCTACATGGGAGAAAGGTTGGACAAGTTGTAAGGAATCACAAAGATGCAGGGTTTGAAAAAAATAAGACTAGAAACAATACTAACTGGGAGAAATTTAAGGGTGCCAACAGAAAGAAATCGCACACTGGGGATTATGTAAATCATGTCATCAGTTGCATTGAAAAGATTTTAAAAATCACCAGTGGATGCTGAAATTTCAGATAGCATATTTCTGTCATCTTTTTGGAGGAGCCAAACTAAACACCACTTTGAGAAACATTTAAAACAGATGAACTGAACAAGAAATAAACAGAAACAAAGTGGTATGATTAGTCATCAAATGTTCTAAGAAATGTGAAGCAACAAATTTATGCCTAATAATTGAATTTGGGGTTTTTGGTTTTGATAAACAGACCAATGGAAATTGACTTTAACTTACACAGTGCAGGATAACTTCCAGTCTACTGACGCTACTGACGCAAACAAGCAAAGTAATTTGGTGACCACCAAAAAGTGAATTTAAAACTAGGGAAACAAAGCCAGGTGTTGATGTTCTCAATGCCTCATGTGCCAATCTTCGTCAACTCACCGAAGTTAGTTATCTCTCAATTGCTAAACACACAGCATTAAGATATAAACTATCACGCAATTACTGATCCGTTTGAACTATGTGCCTAAATTTGTCAAGTCATTGTGGTTTCAGATCCATTGGGAAACCCTCTCATTTCCATATTATTTTCACGCTGGAAACCATGACTGTGAACTTGACCTTTTGAATGACTTTTTCCTTTTGCTCAGACAATCTTTCATTTTGGGCAGCTCTCTGGTTTCAATTTTATTCTTGATTCTCTACTTTAGTTAAAATTCCAAAATCCTCAGAGTTAAATATAATTTTACATAAACCTTCGGAGGTTAGGGTTAACCTTCCAAATTCTTTCTGCTGCACAATGTCCCATGTTATGCTACAGTTTTCGATCCTGAACAAGTCCAAAGGAACTTCATGTCGAGAAAAAAGGTTACGATAAAGGGCAAGTACCTTTAGACGGGCAAAAAACGTACCATTGCCCGAAGCACTTATCTTGAAGTTAATCATGTGTTTGTGAACTGTCTTGAACAGACATACACCACTGAATAATAAAATTAATAACAGGCTCTTTCTGCTCGGAAATTCCAAGTCTGTCTGCTCTGCACCCTTACTGCAAAAAATAAGAAATCATCAATATCTTGATAGCCAGTCTGCAGTCACCCGACTTGGTAGCCTAACCCTGCACTATGAAAGCCAGGACAAGTGAGAAATTGGAGCAAAAGCAACATAATAACCCCGAATTCCCCTTGTATGTAAACCTCTCCACTCTGAAGAAATTACTTCAGCATCTTCACAACAAAGGCGACTTCATTTTTCTTTACAAACTATTTCTGGATTCTACATGGGTGACACAGCTTAAAATGCCCAGTTAAAAAGGGAAAAACATTGAAAGAGCCACAGTAATCGAGGGAAGTGGAAACAGGACAGGTGGCTCTGATCACAAAGATAACTTTCACCGAGACAATTCCAGTGGCTCCCTACTTTGGACATATACATGTATATCAGGAGACTTTGTTATTTTCATGACGTCACAAAGGTCGATGCGAGTCGAGTAGATTCCAGCACTAGTCACGTCTTCTTGGGGAAACCAGATATTTCACATTTCTGTACCATATTTGAGGTGGAAATCAGCAGGCAAGCTGAACCTTGGAAAGTTTGAGAGTACCTTTTAAATGCTTGATTTTCAAATATTTAGAAGTTCTGGTAAAATAGCAAAAGTGACGGTAAACAGAAAAAAGCCAAATGAAACCTGAATTTTGGTAATCGTTCCTTTACTAGAGTCAAACTTTATCACATCTTCCACACTTACTCAAACAAAATACACTCTCACCCTATGTCTTCCAAAGATTTCCAACATCTGGCTTTATTTCTTAACCAATTGATTTTCAAAGATATATCATACATATTTACACATGTACTTTTGAAAGTTAAGGGGCATTTTTATTACAAGTTATGTCAACATTTTATTTAAAAACGAAGACACTTCTTAAAAAAGAAAACTGCCCAACCAAAACAAGCTGACTATGAGAAACACTTTTTGACATTTAAAAAATGGTGTGTGGCAGGCCATCCCAATATTGTTGAAGTATCTGGGGTTTTTTTTGTTGTTTTTTTGGACGAAGAAATCGAGAGAAAAGCTGACCTTTACAGCCTGAAACAATTCCTCGGACTGCTATCGAGAAATCCAGTTTCCTCACATTGTTTGAGAACTAAACTTGGCCATCGCTCTTATTCAAAATAAGTCACCATAATCTCTTTGAGGTATCGACAAAGCAAAGCTGTTATGGGGCTCAGACTATTTTGATTCCCTGCATGTTCTGCTTGAGATTCATCATGGCCAGGTCTTGTCTCTTCTCTTCATCCTTGAATGCTTGCTTGTTAGCCTTCTTCTCCAGACGTCGATCCTGCACAAAGAAGGGTGGAAATAACCAAGTTAGAAGCCTTTTACAGGGAATAATTTTCAGCAAAAAATTTGCATGGCAAATCTGCTATACAAAATAATTTTTGCATAGCAGTTGGAAAAACTTGTATAGCAATTGCTTCCATATAATCACAGTGCAAATTTACAGCACACAATTACGACATAAATGTATACTAGGCGGGTGCATCACATTAGTCGTCATTGAAAAGTCGAGATTCCTGTACAAACATGATTTTCCTTTGAATTTATTCATTCTTTTTATTCTTTTCATGTTTGATAAAACTTGGAAAATGGCACAATTAATCGATAAGTTGGTCTAAGCTGAGTTTTAGTATTAAAGCACCTGGCAGAGTGCCACCCTCTCGCCCGTAAACATCGCCGAGACAGTAAGTTCCTTCTTTCAACCAATCACGCCACAACACAACATGAATATACATCACCCCAATGTGCACAGGACTCTGATGCTTTGTTCCTACAAGTTCAGGGAACGGCGATTTCTTAACCAATCAACGATTTTGCCTGGCGTCTTATAATGCAAAAAGTACACACACGTACCAGGTAAAATTCACTCATATTGAAGTCACAAAACAGTCATCGAGCTGCACTTTCCGGCCGTCAAAGCTCCGCTGCATCACGCATGCAATAACCAATGAGCTTGGTACCCAGACACAAAGGTATTTTACAGTTTACTCTGCTAAATGTACAGCGTACTTTATACACGCAAGTTTGTACGAAAAGCACTGTACCGTACTCTACATGTTCTTAACAATGCAAAAAATCATGTCACCGGTACATGTAGTTGTTTACTTTTTACCACTTTTGATAAGCTTTTGTGAAGAGGAAAACAACGAATCCAAGGTGGCCACGAAAACGGACACTTTTATTTTCATGTTTCCGGTTGCATCGTAGTAACTGCAATTCGTTAAAAAAGTGCGTAGCAACTTGGCTGAAACCGCATCGCGAATTGTGATGCGATACCGCGAACATTATTTGCTGTTTTGTGAGTTAAATTTGACTAAAATTCATGTGAACATAACAATTTGAATTCTCCACACTAAAGACACTGTTGCTATACCTCGTGATATGGAGCAAGCTTTTGCTTAGTTACATAAGAAACGCCTTGCACAAATGCACTGTTTCAATGGATAAGAAGGGCACCAAGGAACCAGTCCATTCCAGAGATGGTGGTCGCTATGCAAATGCTTGCCCCGAATCACAAGATACAGCAACAGTGTCTTTAGTCTGGGGAATTCAAATTGTTATGTTTATGTGTAATCAGATAACTCGGTGTACCAGATTTTATTCAAGTTTAAATCACACAATGCTTATTTACAAATGCACAAAAGGATGGCCTGTCAACGCATTACTAGCACCTCACAGCACCCTTGGAATGCTCCACCAAATACTGCTTGTACTTATTAATGTTTAAACTAGCTTCACTTTCCTTTGCACCTTCTTATATGACAGACAAACGAACAGTCCAACCAAACTATGGGAACAAGCGGGCAAAGAAAACTCATTATGAACCCCTGCCAAGTTTGACAAGCAGCCAGACGAAACTAATCCAAATTTCCTTTGCATCTGGTAGGGTTACTTGACGGCCAGTTCTCTCAAGCTATTGACAAATAACTAGCCAGGGAGACAGGCCAACTGACCAACAACCCTAATGCCTTACCCTCCGGTCTTGTTTGACAGCCTGCTTCCTCAATCGTCTCTCCTCTGAGGTCTCCTTTTTGTCCTTGGGTCTGGAGGGAGCGACGGACGGCAAGGTGTACTCGTCGTGCAGCTCCCTCTCCTGTTGTTTCTTGGTTGGGCCTGGTGTCGGCAGGACGTCTAGAGGCATTCCCGTCTTCTTGGACAGCTTGATGGATTTATTCTGCCAAGGAAAATGGATGTAGTGTCCAACTGAACAACTGTCTTTTCACCTCAGATGCCCAGGTTCGAATCCCGGCCCGGTCCACCTGTGGATTGGGTTTTCAGTCCCTACCTAATTCCGTGGGTTTTACCCAGAATATTCCTCTGGGGTTTTCCTCCCACCTCTAAAACTGTAACCGCCTCCCATGGCCTCCTCTCTACAGGTTTCTTCAGGCTTGCCAGCTACAGTGCCTAGAGTGCTTTTGAGGAATCCTTGGTGTTATTACCAGATATGCTCAATTATACGAAATGTGACAAAACCACAATTGCCAAAGGTTTTGACATTGGCATGGGGGCTTGATGCCCCTCTGAAGTTGAAATTAAAAGGCACAGGATGTTTAGGTCAAAGGTCAAAGGAAGACACCTGAGGCTGATTTCGTTTGTTTGTCCCAGCATTTTAAAGATTGCTAACTAGGGAAAGTTGAATACTCCTTGGTGATGTTAGCGTTCAAGCGAGTGAAAGTTGTTTTTCCAACACTCAATGATGTCCGTCCCATTGGCCTTACCTTGGGAGGTTCCTTGATGGTCGTCGGATGGTTGTAGAGGTTGGAGTAAGTACTCAAGATGGACTCGCAATCCCATCGCTCTTCCTTCTTCGTTTCTGTCACGGTCATTTTGACGAGATTATCGTCCTCATCCTCATCATCACTGGCATCGACTTGGAGACGATTGCCATCTTCCACTTTGCCTACATTTCTGATATCGCCAAGGAAACTGGAAGAGAAAAAAACTTAACTTTTTTTTTTCAAGAGTGGAAGGAACGAGAACATCTGTCTCACAGGAGAAGTGCACATTCCTAACTTCTACCAAACTGACCAATCCACTCCACTGCAACGTGACCCCCTCGATGAAACTCGGAGTCAAGATATTCAAAGACGGTAACAAGCACGGTTCCCAGGAGGTTCTGAGCCAAAGCTGGCTGTCCTCAGGCTAGATTACGACAGAGGAAAATTTTCCTCATCGGGGACACCTCGTTCCCACTTTGTCGCATATCTGTTCGTAGAGAGGAGACAGCATGTTCAGAGCAGGGCTCAATCCAAACTTTCCGCCACATTGACAATGAAGAGATTGCATAAAAACTGACCTCTTCTGTTGACGGGCCTCGTATTCATCCAAGACCTGTTTCATGATGGCACTGTCGGCTGTAACCTCTCGATGACCGTCTATCTCATCGTGGTCCAGAGCTCCAATCTCCATGTCATCATACTGCTCGTAAAACTACGACCAAATCATTGAAACCAAATGAGTTTCCAATTGAATACCTCATTGAAAGAAAGGCCCTACTCAACCATTTAGGACCAGGAGAGTTAATTAATTCCTTTGGGGCCTTCTTTTAATACGGCATTCAATTGGAAATACCCCCTACTCAATTTTCATCTAGCATTCAAATTTGAACATTGTTTAAAAGTCTCTGCTTTTGTTTTCCCTTTGAAATAATTATTTACAAAAAGAAAGAAAAATTTCCTTAAGAAAGAGAAAAAAAGAACAAATTAATTTCACATGCTAGTACAGTTTTCTGACTATTGGCAGATAGTACAGGAAACTAGACTGTGAGCTAGTAATGAACAGGTTTGATATCAAGACACTGGGAAAATTTGATGTTCACTCATCCCTACCTTCTCAAATCTGTCGTCTAGTAACGTTAGTCCCTCGTTTCTCCTCATGACGGACGACGTCAGGGAGTAGTTGGTGAAGTGGGATTTGGTCTCTTCCTCTCGGAATGTCTTCAGATCATCACTGACGTCATCCTGATCTTCATCTTCGAGTCCATCTGTCGAGTAATCTTCTTCGCTCCCGTACTCGCCTTCGTAGTCACCATCGCCTTCCAACAAGCCTCTACAAACCAGAATTCAGGCAGATATCAATAAAATCCCGTAATGGCGCAATCAACATTACCCACAGTCCTGAATGCTTTTGTACATGTATTTTGTTGAATTCAATTGTCAACCCAACGGTAAACTGAAAAACTGCACAGTGCTAAGTCTGGTGCTTATCTGTCATCAGGTCTTCAATACAATTTTCAAGGAGCAAAAGGAACCAGTCCATTGTTGAGGTAAACCCTTTTCTTACCGGTCACCTTGGCTAAATGAAATATACCAAATATAATGTATTCACTGGCTTACTGGGTGAAAAGCAGTTTCAGCTCCATTTGTAAATCCATCCTCCAAAATAGAGTTCAAGCAAGCTTAAAAAGCTGAAATGTGGATTTCAAAGAGCCAAACAAAGCAGTCTTCAAAGGCTTACACGTACACCTAGTACCTTTCGCCATCCCCTTGTTCTCCTTGGGCCCTGAGTATAAAGTCGTCCTCCAGCTGGTTATTGGGATCATCAAAATCAAAATCTTCATCCATCGCTGCCACGACATCAGGGTCAAGGTCCAGCCGGGGTCCTTCAAACAGATCACAGAGACACACACTGCAGGTCAGTGGAAGTCAACTTGGTCTTTGCCAGGCCCTGTCACACACCCTCATTCAATTTTAGTTTGTAGCCGCTCGTCACTTGGGTTTCTTTATAAACGTAACTCCTCTATATCGTTGCTTGTTCATTGAGTAGGATCGACGAAGTTAGCGCCAAACTATTTGCATTCCCCATGGGGGTTCAATGCTCCCTTGGAATGAAAAGAATTTGACTCAAGTTGCCTGAGGAAAGATTCAAATAAAGGCTCTGGAGTTAGGGTTAAGGGCACCTGTAGACAATCTTATGGTTCTCATTTCTGATCCACCCCTATTTGTGGCTCTGACCAAGGGAAAAAAATTTGTGTTGCGGACTAAGTCTGAAATATTCTACAAAGAGTTTTTTAAAAAGATTTCTGGGGACAAGCAAATAAATTTTTCTGAACCAACAAGTCTTCCTTAAGGTTAAAAAAAAAGGAGAACCGTAGAATTAACAGTGGAAGCCCAAACGCCATGTCTATTAATATGGGTGGCTATTTCCTAACATCGACTACTTGCGTCTACCTTCGGAATCAAAATTTGCTCAATGTAGGTCAAGATATTGTTGTAAAGGGGCCTGCTGAGGGACACAGGATGTTACGCTTCACAGTACATACCACTAACTGGGGCAGCTTTATTGAGTAGACCGACATTTTCTTCCGTCTCTGATGGAAACACTTCTGCTGGAAGGCCAAGCCTTGAAATCTAACAAAAAGTATCAGAAACGGCAATAAATCTAAGTAAAAAAACACGCCAGTCAATGGTTTTAAGCATCTCAATGTAATGAAAATGAAACCCGATTTCAATTCTGAATCATGGGGACCTGCAGACTGGCAAAAATGTTTGGCCCATTTCCTAAGATTCTCAAAAGTTGATACAGCAACAAGATCAAAAACTGTCACACCTACCTGTGCAGAGCTTTCAACGCCGACATGCGGCCTCTGTTCTTGATGAAATGGGAGGGTGGGGTCAGACCAGACACACTCTGGGTTGACCTCCTTCAGATGCTGCAAGTAATCGTAGTCGTCATCGTAGAACACCCCATGCGCTCGCTCTTCGGCCTTCCGCTCATCGTGCTGCTCCTGAGGACCAGGATGTTCCAAAAATGTTTAATTGCAAGATAAATCCGGTCAAAAATCTTTGCCGTTTTGCAACTCTTTTCAAAATTCTACAGGACATCAACCAGGCACTAAGTTGAAGTTCACAGGAAAGACACTGGGGACTTTGTCACATATTTGACCACACTGGAGTGCACCTGTCCCTTGTGGCCACCTGTAATTGTAGGCACCTGTGCATGTGAACACTTTGGCCACATTTGTGGTGTGTACACCCTTCTTTTGTGGTCACCAGTCTATTGTGACCACGTGTCCATTGTTAATGCTGCCTGTCTTGAGGCATTTTCAGGCTATGACAACCCGTCCAAGTGGATACCAGACATGATGACAAATGGTCCATTAAGCGGGCAAACTATTGTTACCGTCCAAACAAAACTTAAGACTACTTTTTTCAAGCTCCGAGTCTTGAGGCAGCCACCTGACTCCTCTTCAAAACTGTTACGGTGTGATAGTTATACCTTTTCTTTTGCATTCTCTTTCTGCAAGAGGACAAACTTGGAGCTGTCTTCGTCAGCTTGCAGAGGATCTCGCTGACTGCGATGGACAAGATGAAAGCTCACCGCTTTCTTGCGGTCGATGAAGGGCTTTTTCTTTCGCCCTGGCTAAAAGACAGGAGAGATCGGAATGAACACCAATGACCAAGAAACACAGGAAATGTTTGGCTGCTTTGCTAAATGCTAATGACATGAACGAGCGTTACGAAGCTTGTTACTATTGAAAGGTTAAACCGCGAGTGGATGTAACGACAAGCAAAAGCATTTATGGGAAAGACATGAAGGCCCAATTAACCTAGCAGCTTCCACAAATTCATTTTTTTAAAAACTTATTAAGAAGAGACTGGGAAAGAATTCCATATAGACCTACAGATGCCACTAATTCCCCCCCCCTCCCCGTTAGACTACCCCTATCTGACATGTCTGAATACCCCTGCAACTGAACTGTGGGGTCTGACATCATTCGTGGGAACGGGGTGGATGTCGGACCCCACTGTTCTGGGGTTATGTCTGAAAGCAATAACATGCCCTAGAAAGTAAAATTTAACTGGGAAAATATTGAGGTATTCCCTAAAACCCCCCCCCCCGAATTGTGGGATTCATTGTCTGGGTGGGAGCATGATGGTGGACGACCAACCCACAGTTCTGGGGATAGATCAATTTTCTATTCGCCATGGGCATGCAAAGCCTCGAACTGGCAGCTGGTACGATCGCGTCAGAATCACTTTGTGCAATCGCATTGTATAAGAACCAACCCAGCACATGCAAAAGTACATACGCAACGTACACGGGAATCACTAAACTGGCTATATTTACTGTGTAAAGCTACCAGTCACTTAGTCACTTAGGCAATGTCAGGCCAAGACTAGACATGCTAGATGATCATTCTACTTTCTGAGATTCTACAGCGAGCCTGGGCTATAATGTTGCTTGTGGCGGGCTGCATTGTGAAAACCATGACCATGTGACTGTGTGAAAATGTTACGCCCCAACTATAACAGCAGTCCCAGCTATAGTTGGACCTGTCCTAACTAGAGTACAATAGTTGGGCCGGCCCAATCACAGCACAGAAGTCCAGTGTGCATGTGTCCAGCAGTGTCGGNACCCCCCCCCTGAATTGTGGGATTCATTGTCTGGGTGGGAGCATGATGGTGGACGACCAACCCACAGTTCTGGGGATAGATCAATTTTCTATTCGCCATGGGCATGCAGAGCCTCGAACTGGCAGCTGGTACGATCGCGTCAGAATCACTTTGTGCAATCGCATTGTATAAGAACCAACCCAGCACATGCAAAAGTACATACGCAACGTACACGGGAATCACTAAACTGGCTATATTTACTGTGTAAAGCTACCAGATTGAGGCTCTGCATGCCCACAAAGACTGAACGAGCGAATGGAGTTCCTTAGTCACTTAGGCAATGTCAGGCCGAGACTAGACATGCTAGATGATCATTCTACTTTCTGACAGTCTACAGTGAGCCTGGGCTATAATGTTGCTTGTGGCGCGGCGGGCTGCATTGTGAAAACCATGACCATGTGACTGTGTGAAAATGTTACGCCCCAACTATAACAGCAGTCCCAGCTATAGTTGGACCTGTCCTAACTAGAGTACAATAGTTGGGCCGGCCCAATTACAGCACAGAAGTCCAGTGTGCATGTGTCCAGCAGTGTCACGTCACAGATGATATATTCTGCATGAAGTGTGTTAGGTGTAAGATGTACAAACTTGGATAAGGTTGAGAAAATTTCTATAGAAATTGTTCAACAATAGTTGGGCCAGCCCAACTACAACACTACATACAGTGGGGATAGTTGGGACAGACGGTATAGTTAAGTTGGGGCGTAACAAAAACAAATGCAGGAAACCAGCCATGCCAGCTGACCATTACTGGTAAGAATGACTGACAGTTCGTTGCAAAGCCGATGAACGACAATCTTGAATTGGCCTATTTTATTTCAGAAAAAATAAGAATCAAATGTTTTCAGACCACACAGTGTACATGGTGGTACTGCGTACATGCATAAGAGTGTTAGGCCTAATTACCATAACTATTCCACGGGAAAGATGCCTGAAAATAAACGGTGGAACACAGCTCTCTTTCTATCCAACACGTGTGAACCTCCAGTTTCTAACACATGTATGAAGTGCGCATGTGTGATCAGTTTGACCTTTAAATTCCAGTCATCGGGGCGCGGTTTACGGCTGTTAACTCGGTTTATAATGTTTACAGGTCATGAGGTCAACTCGTAGATCTGATTACCGACTCAGGCAAGTTCATGTGTGTCGTATACACAACATGTGCTTTGCGCTACATGTACCGGAAGCCAGACGCCGTACACGTAGAGTACATGTACATGATGTATTGTACACGTACAGTATAGCAATTGTACGTGGCGAAATATATGAAAAGGGATCTCAGGTTCTCCATGTTTTCAAGGTTTACTGAGATTACTGCTGGGGCTAAGTTTTAAGAAGGCCCAGTGCTGTTTTAGGAGGCCGAGTATGCTTAAGTCAAAGTCAGCCCCTAGCTTACATCCGTCGAAATTCGTAAAGATCAGGTTGAAGTCAGACGATGGACCAGACTCAGGTCTTTGGACAAGGTGTGGTGGTAGGGCCAGCGTGTACGGTGTGTCATGTGCATACGCCATGTGGCATGGTCGGGCACTAGGAAGTGGGCGGGTCATTGTCACAACTGTTGGGTGGCGGGACTTTTTCTTTTTATCAAGACGGGTGGGGAAGGTTAGTGGAGGACAGCATTAGTCGATCCATATGGCATTGGCTGATTGAGAATTTCAGTTCAAATTACACTAGTTTGGATGCTAGTAGAAAGTTGAGATTGACACAAAATGTTAACCAACAATGACAGACGATATGCATTAATTAACTTGGTGTTGGAGGGCAAGGGCTTGGCTCAAGCATACCTTTGTTGGTGCATTCATATCTTTATCTTCCTCCATGTTTTTACTTAAACTGAGGCAACAGCAATGTAGGGGACCTCTGTTGATAGTTGGGGAAGTGTTTCATAAACGGATGCCCCTTTACACCCTGTGCACAAACCCCCGAGACTGGTCTGAAAATTTCTAAATGTTTTCTAAGTAAACGACTTGTTTTTGTCCCTCCTATATTGAACTTTTCTGGACTTTTTTTGTTTCTGACGGCTAATAGGTCACTGTAGGGAGTAATTACAGGCATCCGTTTATGGAACTCTTCCCGACAGTTGTTTTGACCTGATTGTCATGATTATTGACATAATGACATTTAGGCCTATCTTGATCATTTGGAGGTGAGGATTTCTTATGTTGATTGGAATGATCATATTCGTAGTGATGATGCCTTGCGGTGGTGATCTTGTGTAGCTGGAGATTAGTGGTGATCATGATAACAGTCGGATATTAAAATGGTGATTGTTAGGAGTTAGATGTTGGTTTGGTACGATTGGTCAATCAGCATGACCGTGTGATTGCATTCCACTGTCAGCCAATCTGACCTAACCTCCCTTTCTTGCACCAATCTTCCACAACTGTAAATTCTTCTGCAACTGTGAATTACAACGAACGAGTACAATTACATGTATTGACATACAGTAGGCCCCTATCATATAGCAAAGCTGCATACCGAGGGCCTATCATATATGGTAGAATGACATGGAATACCTATTTATTGTTCATGATACATCATTTTCCACCCTGTGGCATGTACAGACATGAGAGAATAGAATGGACCGTCATCCTCTTGGTTGGTTCTACCATCCTGTATTCCGCGCGGACCATTCTACCTCTCTGTGCAGTGAGCGTTGCAAGGGAGTTTGGCTGGGACAAAGCTGAAACGGTAAATGCGGTCAAGCTGGGGAAAAATGGAATGGTTGTATTCAGCAGGGAGGTAGGACTGTACATGGGTTGAAATAAATAGGGCTAAGTCAATTCCAATAATTAACTATTCGAATATTTGACTTTCAATTTGATTGAATACCCCAATATTTGGTCTTACCGAGTGGCGGATTGCAATGATTAACACAATTGTATGTTATAATCAATATAATAGCTTCTCACATCTCCAGCCACGATTTAGCAAGATTTAAGAGACGAACAATATTTCTTTTAAAGTCAATTGAAAATTTCTATTTCTTTTGAATTTTTAGTGGATAATTTACTTTTTGAATTGTTGTAAGATTTCTGTTGCTTTTCATTTGAATAAGCTTGAAACAAGCCTCCATAGTGCTGTTATTCTCATTTAAAGCAAAAGAAAATTCTCCCTTTTCATGAATTTTGCATTTGAATATTCAATCGGAAAATAATATTCAAATATTTGATAATTGATCGAATATTTGGATATTCGGCATAGCTCTAGAAATAATATGTCGTAGGATCTAAGCTCAAAAAAAACAGTTTTGAGACTATATATCCAGGAATTGCCCTAGCGAAGCTTGCTGAAGTCTTATTGGGATTAAACTTTGGGAAATGAATTAAAACATACTTTCTGCAACCATTCCAAAAATCCATTTCTTAAAATTATTTTCCCCCTCTGAATTGAATCTTGAGTCGTTCTTTTTCTGTAAAACGTCTGGTTAGTTGAAGTACATCTCCAGGTTTCAAGTTACATATTTTCTAGGCTGTCATTCCATAATTACTAGTTTTTATTCTTTAGGCTTGATCTCTTGATTTTCTCTTTCTCACCAGGGTCTAGTGCTTGCATGTTTCTTGTGGGGTTATCCCTTTACCCAGATCCCAGGAGGTTATCTTAGCGATAAGATTGGCGGTGACCTTGTCCTCTACCGAGCAGCTCTCATCTGGGGAGTGGTGACCATCATCACAGCAGACGTGCCTTACTTCTACTCCTCAAAAGCAGCAACAGTTTTCTCTATGGCATTTGTCAGGTTCCTGTTGGGCATCACCCAGGGTGAGTGGAAAGAGCGTCGCTAGGCAACGCATCGTTGTCTCATCCCCAAGGAAGTGGGGTCAGGCCACCGAGATAAACGTTTGATTTTAAAGTGTCCTTGATTTGAAACTTGTTTGTTTTTCAGGGGTGCACTATCCCTCGATGACTAGCCTCATCAGCAAGAAGGTCAGCGTCGATGACAAACCATCTGTCATCTCTGTGATCTTTGCTGCCTCGTCAACTGGGTAAATCTCTTCTCCTTCTTAACACTTCTGCATGCCCCACTCTCCCATCTGCCACTGCACTCCCACTTGGGGTTGTACAAGTTGAACCAACATGAGTACTTCAGAGTTTGCAGTGAAAAGTGGATTTCACTGCTTCCAAAATGGCTGCTGAAGCTCTTCTGAAAGGTGAAAGTTGGGAGGGCAGAATACTTTCAAAATAGAAGTCTGGCGACTGATTCTAATACGAGAGTTGGTGGCATCGGTTGTTGGGGAATGTAAAGATGTGGAGACTTGCCATTAGGTGTTACACTTGACTGCAAGTGGTGTGCTTTTATGAGGAATCCCTACTTTCATGACGAGAAAGCCAATAGTACAAAAATTTGTCCCTTCTGGTACAACTGCAGCACTCTTTTTACGGGCGCCGTGGGCTCAGTAATGCTGCTGTACTTCCACTGGCAGTCCGTCTTCTATTTCGTGGGCGTCCTGGGGATTGCCTGGGGGCTGGGCGTCCGATGGTTCATCCGGAAGCGGCGCAAGAAGACAGTCTACATGCTGCAGAACGGCAGACAGGACGAGAGCGTGATCAAGATACAGACAGCCGAGCAGGGAGAAACGGCACAGGGTTGCGCTCACTTCCCGTGGAAGGAGCTGATCACAAAGAAGCCATTTTGGTGAGGAAATTTTGTTCTCTTCCCACGGGGAAGAGAGAGACATTTCGCAGGTCTACTCAACGTCGTTTCCAAAGAAAAGAATATCGTACCCATGATTTTGTGGATAGTTTGTTTTTACCGCAGGTTTTTAAGAAATAAAGGGAATGCTATGGCTCTTCATTTGGTTTGATGCCTTTGTTGCTAATGTTACTTTTCATTCTTCAATAGGGCAGTGTTGGTTGGACATAGCTGTACCAATTTCCTATTCTTTATCTTGATTTCGTGGACGCCGACTTATTTTACTGAAGTGTACCCAGGACAAAAGGTATGACACTCTCCGCTGATTTGTAGATAGTTGGTTTAAGTTGTCATGAAGGGCTTTCATTGTATCGAATTCCAGTAAGCTGTTGATTGGTCTCTGATGCAGTCATTTGTTACTTTCACACAACATGCATGTGTTGTTTACAGGGCTGGGTTTTTAATGTGCTTCCATGGTTAGTCTCCATTCCAGCCTCTCTGAGCTCAGGCCTCCTAGCGACTAAACTCCTCTCTCTAGGCTGTCCAGTTGCCCTCTGCAGAAAAAGCATACATGTAGGTACACATCTTGCGATTGATGAATTTTCAAGGAGCATAATGCATAAATATTTATAACGAACGACTCACAATGCAATTGACGTACGTCTGCGTACCTGGGCAGCGTACCCGTCGGATCCATTATTTTTTATTTATAATTTCGTGTAGGTTGTGCACTTCACAAAAGATATGAGACATCATGGATTTCGTGTCTAGCAGTTACGCTGATCTGATCTATAGAGCACCGAAGTGTGACGTCACTGTGAACCAGAAAGTGCAGTGCAAACGAATGGAGTACGCACGCTGGTTCTCGCGCTGATGCCTTTTGCACACTAATTGTGCACGTGACATATTCACTTCGGTACTCTATATTATTTGAATTTCTTTATTTCAGACATTAGCCTGTGCAGGGATGGCCACGTGTCTCATTGCCCTTTGCTTTGTGAAGGACTATAACACAGCCCTAGCTTTAATCATCGTTGCTGTGGCAAGCCAAGCTTTCAGTAACACCGGGGTGCAAGTCAACATTCAAGACATCGCCCCTAAGCATGCCGGCGCCGTCTACGGTAAGCAGAATGAGCAGTGTCTGTCTCTCTGGACTCTGCAGTGACCTTTGAACTCTGCAGGAACAATCGACGGTATCTTGTTGCCGTAAACAAAAGTGATACTCTGTTGTGTGCATGCAAATAGCATCACGTTGTGACTTTTCAGCTGAATGAGCACAACCAACAATGCCTTTTTGAATGAAACCAGAGAGAGCACGAGCGCACAGCACGTATAGCGCAAAAGTTTTCTGCAACAAACGTCAGCGTTCTATTTTGTTTGCCGTGTCGACAGAACACAGCTGCGTTCGGAGTGCACAGTACAAGGACCAGAGTGAGGCGATCTAGTCAAGGCTTTGTCCAAACTGTATCTTTTATGGCTATGTATTTTACCATCAAGTGTATCGCCGTGGGTTTCTATAGCCATAGTCAACAGCTGGGCTGTAGTCAAGCCATTAACAAGCTCAGTCACAAGACTGAGTGCTTTTGTTATGGTTCATTTGAGTAGCTCCTGACTGAGCTCAAGGTTGAATGACTTGTGATGGACTCGTGGTGAACAGACTTCAGCCCCAGACAACAGTGGCCATTTCAGATAAGGCCAGCCTGTCGAAGTTCCATCTCTTTGTCTCTTGCCGAAACAATGCCTTCATAGTTCATTGCAAAAGCCCAAATATCAAACAGCCATTTTCAATTTACTTTTTACCCTTCCCAATTTTACAATCTATTGAATTTTTTGTCTGCAGGTATCACCAACTGCGGAGGCGCCATTGCCGGTTTTACCGGCACCTATCTCACAGGGTACATTCTTCATTTGTGGTACAGTTGGCCGGCTGTGTTCTGCATGGGTGTAGGGGTCGTGCTGTGGGGCTGGTTGGTCTTTGTTCGCTGGGGATCCGCCATTCCTGTTATTTAACTCAGGCCTTTATAGAATCAACTCTGTAATTAATGTACATTCTCTACTTAATAAAAACTAATTTATTCCCCACAGAAACCATATTTCTTTTCTGAACATAAACAAGTTTTAAGCCAAGATTTAGTATAATTTCTTGAAGCTTAATCATGAAGGCTTGAAACCCTTCTCCATTATTTTGTTTGATTGCAAAAACTTCCTACAAAGCTCAAAAGAGACTTAAGTACACAAATTGGACAAGCAAACAACCTCAATTTTATTTTATGTGGATTATCAAAAATCGGTGGGCAGTTTCTGTGCAGTGGAAATCTGTAGTAGTGGTGCTTTCTGCACAAACATAATATTTGGGAAAAAAAAGAGATGAGTGGATGACGGTAAGAAAGACTGGCTTTCTTGTCGAACTGCGCAAATTCTATGCATTTTTCTCCAAAACATGGAAATTGATTGACAGTACTTGCCTGTTAAGTGTTAAATGTAAGAATTATAGCGATTTTTCTGTTGTACATGTAAATCTCACTATTTAGTTTTTGTTTATTTTTTTAATCTTGGTGGCAGTTGTTTTTTTTTTTTAATCATCTAAAAAAGGACGCTTAAGAAACATTAAGACAACTTTTAAAATGAAACATGCTACATGTTTAGCAATACTCTTCAGTTTTTAAATCCAATAACAAGAAGCTGCAATGCAATGCATCATGTGTTTCATCAAGTGCTTTATTTACTGTTGTGACGAGGAAAAAGTACATAACCATGTGTAACAAGGAGACAGGGTACCATACAAAGTACCTTCAAGCTCCAATGATTCTAAAATTACTTGTAAAAGCAGCGCCCACTTTATTAACATTTGCTGTAAAGTTGAAAAATCTAATACTTTCTGAATACATCACCTGTACCGACTAGTATTGTATTTTGATGCATTGTATTTATCTCCTGCCTGTCAGTGTTTGTCCGTATGTGTATCATTGCCCAAAACATGTTCATGTCTTGTGTTGTCCTATGTTATAATATGTATGTCTGTCAATAGGTCAGGGTACAAAAGCAAATCTATGCTCGGCCCTTTACCTAAATGTTCTTTAACGTGTCAACGCGTTAATAAATAGAATAAACACCTATTGAATTCTACGCAACGAATGTACTTGCAAAACTTGGGTTATTTAGAAAAAATTTGTATTTTTCAGTGCAGAAGCTTACTTGGCAAAGATACAAAGTCTGAAAATGTTTTTTTTTATTTTCACAAAGTGATAAAGGTTTCACATACAAGTATGCACAATGTAGTGAAAAGGAGTTGGTTGCCAAACTATTTGCAAATTTTAGTGTGATATTAGCAGACTTCTTAAACTATTCAACCGTTAACTAGTGATATTAACTTGACTTGCCTTGAACTGGTTAAATATGAGTGTTTTCTTGGTTGAATGCACATTTGCGCTGGTTTACAGGCTACTCCTCAAATCCATTAGGAAACACAGTAAGTCGGGACTCTTTGACTAGGCCTTTTCCTGAAGGCACACTATTTACATAAATGTGATAACTTGACCATGTCATGTGGTTTCACCGACTACTTAACTGATGTCAGCGGTTGTTAACCTGGTTGAAGAGTCTGTTCTTGATAACTTGGGATGTGAGTCCGTGGATGACCTCTATTGTTGTCTTACAGCTGTTGAAGAGAATTTCAAAAAAAGAGGAGATCATTAAAAACCTCAAAATGGAAAATTAACGGGAAACAAAACAGTCACAGGCTGGGAAGGGTGAGGCTGTATTTTCATTTCTGTTCTAATATAGAGCCTTAAAGTGAACGATCGCGTAGCAAGCTTCTGGAACCCTCGCGCAGTCCGCCTATGGGGATTTTACATGGGGCAGTTCTATCACGTTCGATAACTTTTGGAAGAATGGCTCTTCAATGGCACCACCCCATGAAACACTCCTGTTGAAATTTCACCTTTGTCTTCCTCGAGTAATATGCAAGAAAAATCACCTGGAGATGGGTAAAAAATGAATTTCATTAACGACCTTTCACTTCCGGCAGTATCGTTCCTAGGTCTCCGTGTTCATGCACGTTTGTTTTTATTCCCCGTGCTCACGTGGAAACGAGATTGTACAACGTTACAAAGATTTACCTACCTGCAGTCGATGGGTTCCAGATTCCATTGAGTTCTTGTCAGCAAAGGTTAGATTATACATTAGAATCTTTCATAAATTAAAGCACGTTGTTGCTTTAAGTTAATTTCCTTATGAATTCCAAACCCTTAACATATTTTGATCTGTTTTTATTTTGGTTTTTACCGAAAGATTACCATAAAGTATAATTCCATAACTGTTCATCTGTGTACGAGACCACTGAATTGCACTCTTCATGTATTTTGGATTTTCGGAAGTGAAAGGACAGTTTTTGGCAGGATATTTCTCTTTTAGGTCAGGTCAGTTTCCATAAACTGATATGCTATAGCAAATATTTTACAAAAGGCCTCTTTATGAGTAAAGATTTTAAGTAACTGTATGAAAAATATTACAAATTCTAAAATTCCTGTACGTTTGCATCAATTGATGACTTCAAGATTGGACACAATTCACTGCTTAAACCATCCAGAGTTAGTAGAAATTATACTGGATGAACCACTTTGAAGGAGAGTCCACCTCCCTCCCCTTCGCACAGAATGCCCCACCCATGAGGTGCCAACCGCTGTTCATTTTTCAAACCATCCACCATTGATCTGAACCCAAAGAGATTTCCCACCTGTCTCGGTTGGCTTTGGCCAGCTTATCCTCGGCCTTCTTCTCGTGGTCCATGGCTACCATGAAGCTGCCTCGCCCCAGCTGGGCCTCTGCCTGCTCCAGCTTCTCTGATAGGTCCCCTACCTGCCCTGTGGTGTAGTCCGAATTCTGCACACCGAGGGGGGGTGGAAAAAAGGATCATGAAATCTTCACTAGTGGATAGCAAGGTAGGAAACAGGTATCCCGCCATCCCTGGTTATAGGCAGTAGCCAAGGCAGGGGAAGCGGTGGTACCGAGCACCACAGGGACAACAGTGAGAACAAGACTAGGATAATGAAAACGGGTGATCAACGCATTGGGTACCACATGACAAAACTAATACAAAACCCGCTGAATATCTAGCCAGCGATTTTCATAACCTGATTTATAAATTAACCAAAATGGACCCACATTCTTTTTCTGCAATGTGTGGAGATAACCCAGGCTACAGGCCTAAGTTATAAGGTTTGAGCCTTTTCTTTCTGTCAGTCCTTGCTGAAATGTTTCCTGCTTGTTCCTGCTCCTTCATCCTGCCTTTTGGAAAGTGGAGGACAAAAAACCACAGGTGGGACTCAAATCCATTGATGCTCTCTCATCATCACAGATACATAAGAGGTCTTTTTACAGGTTTACCGTCAAGTTTTTCAGGCTTCATTTCAATAAATAGCCAATTTGAATTTGGGCATTGGGAGAATTATCACAACAGACGATCCAACAGCATCTGAAGCCAAACCATCAGTACAAAAGTTTGTAAAAAAGCCTTCCAGTGAAAACAGGAATATTCCAATTTTATATTCCTGTTTTCACTGGAAGGCTTTTTTACAAACCAATAAGAGATCCATTTTGAAAATTTACTTTGTTCCCAACAGTGGCTATCAAGAATTCGGAAACCATCTCCCCAAAATTTGGAATTTTTCACGAAAAATCAGAACATTCTCCATATTACTACGAACAAGGAAAAATCAGTGCTGCATTGTACAAGAGTCGAGTCCATGTCCGTGATGATGTACATTACCGCACGTACTCACCAATTCCATAAAATTTTGATTTCCACAAGAGTTTACATCATCTGAAATGGTACGCAATAATGTCTCATCTCCTTAATGTGTTGGTTCACCACAAAATTCAGCGAAAAATTTACCGCGTGGTGCTTGCACACTTGACATGCTTGTGGTTGATTTCGCAGCAGTTCTTAGTCTTAGATCCAAACGTTCCTAGCTGTGTCCCCTAGCGAAACAAGGCACAGCGCAATGCATGCAGCGTGAGTTACAATGTAGCTTGTCGATGGAGTGCATTGTTGAAATGATTTTGGTAACATGTCCATGTATCACGTCCTTCTCGCAGCTGGTACGCATCAAAAGAGGGCCCTGCCACAGACATGGTGCGTGCAATGTGCACTGCACTGACTGTTTGGATAAGTTGTACTTCGGTACATGCACAAGATTACATGGTCAGTTTCGGGTAAAACATAAGCGCGTCAAAATTGCGATGTGGCAGAAATTTTAGGGGCGAAATCGGAATAGCAGAAACGAAGTGAAAAAGCAGAAATTGTCCGCCACAATCGAGAGGGTTAGCAGGTCTGGTAACAGGTCGCTCCCGAGTAAAGCATACAAAGGCAATGGCCACTGTTCCCAATCAGAACAGAGGGTGTCCCTGATTAGCAAAAGTAATCCTCTCGTTGGGACATTCGAAAGCGGTTCCAACTTTTACAATGCTCCCTTATAAGAAAGAGTCCTCTCGGCTCACCGTAATCAGGCTGGAGGAACTGAGCGTGTTGACCCAGTACTTGTTCCACAGCGAGTCCAAGAGCTTGCGGTCCAGAGCCGATTTGAAGTAGGAGACGTCCAGGGAGTAGTACTGCTTACAGTGCACTCCGAAATCCTCGATCTTGTTTAGAGGGATTGTCTGATATTCGGACGGCCCCTCATCTGGAGGTTTGTAACCCTGGGGGGTTGAGAAGGAAGCCGACGTTAATTAGGAATTCAGGCTTAGAACCTTCTGGAATCCTCTGAAATCCTCCACTGCACAGTCAGCCCATGGCTTGTTCTTTTGTACTAATGTTTTCAACGAGCATCCAGCCACGGGTAATGGTAACACAGCTCTATGAACTATAGGGTCAAGTCCTACACACTCCTTGATAACCTACTAGTGGATTCTGAGGGATCTAAAAGGGTTAGGGTAAACAAATAAATGGTAACTCATGGTTAACCGCTGAGTTTGAGGGATTCAACGAGGCCCTGTAAGGTACCTCCGGATAAAAACGTATCCCTTGTTTGACTTTGCATTCTTCCCTTAACCCTAACTGCCCAAGGGTTACTAGCCCTAACCCCCCAAGGGTTGCTGGCCCTAACCTTCCCCATTCACACAAAGTTAAACACCCATATGGGACTTTGGTCACAGAGGCTGTTGGACTTTGTTTTTCTGACGTATGCCAAACCCAATGCAAACGCCAGCTGTTATGGGCCTACCAGACCTATCCCCACAGAATGAAACACTTTAATTCTGTGTGGTTGGGGAAGGTTAGGGTTAAAGTTCAAAGCACTCCCTGTTAATGTTATCAAAGTGACACTCTTGGGGACTTTATAAAGGTCAAGATTTTGACTAGACTGTGTGAGCAAACAATCCACCTTCATACCTTTGGGTAAGTCCTGAATGCGCCAAGGTTGACTTTGCCTGCAGATATAGTCCTCACTGGGTCAATCTGCAACAAATCAAAGATAAAATGCAATGTTTGAGGCTATCAAAGAAAAGATTGCTAATATGAACCATTTAAAGTCATCTGTTTCCTCTTTGATTACCTATTTTCGTTTTTTTCCTAATTGTTTTCGATTTTAATCCACCATATAATCCAAACTTTGCCTTGACACAATACAGCAATTGTCGTTGGGAGCTGATGTTTCCATGGAAACAAACATGGCTTCCTCACCACAATGGCGACAAAAGGCTCCTGGAACTGCTGGTTCAACATCTGGGTCCCGACGTCGATGCCTGATAACCAGCATCCGTAACCGGGATGGCTATGGTACCAACCTATCGCATTCTCCAGACGCCCAACCTGATGAAAGAAGAAAACAAAACGTTTTCCAGACAATTCAGGCACTGCTATTCCTGGGTATCAACCAATGAAATGAAAGCTTTGAATCCCAACTGCCAACAAGCTAGAAGATTGGTCAAATATAGCTTCTAAACTTATAGCTAAACACAGAAAATACAAGTATTGGCTTAGCAAGGCCGGGTTACCAGCGAAAATGCCATACACTGTTTATCTCTTGCGACTGGCACTTTAAATCTCCCAACCAGTAATTTGTTTCCTGCTTAGAAAGCCTGAGCCCAGACCCTGTAGTTGAGGATCTTCTTGCGTTTGAACAGACCTGCTTAGCGTTCTCGATGTAAGCTGCCATGTACTCGTAAGCTGCTGCCTGGGCATTGACTCTGGTCTCTGTGCCTTCCACTGGCAAAGCGAAGCAGTCCATGACTATCATGGTCTCACCGTCAACCTGAAGAACGGAAAAAAAGCACCAAGCAGCAGAGCCTTAGATAAAGCAAGGGAAAGTGTGTCGATCTTGAATCCCTACTATATAAATTATAAGTTACAACATTATAACTCACAAAGTAATTTCAGCCAGAATTCTTCCTGGGTCCTCCAAATATCACTGCTGTGCAGCAAACCCACGGCACATTCCTTGTACTTCAAAATTTCCAAGGAATGTTAAATCCCAAGAGGAATTCAAAGGGCGACATCTGTACCCTCCATCTTGCAAAATCCCTCAAATCATGAATGTGTGCTTATGTAATACTGGCGATTCACAATAGTGCGCCACCAAGAGTTTGCAACACGGTGGCCAATCATAACGCGTGAAAGTTGTCGAGCCTTTCCAAACACACATTGGGTCGACAAATTTCGCGCATTGTGATTGGCCAACGCGTTGCAAACTCTTGGGGGCGCACTCTTGTGAAACGGCTGCATTATTTTTCACTGAACATGCTAAAAGTATAATACCCATAAATTTCTGAATGTGTTATGATAAAATAAAATTGTATGCCATTGCCTTTATTGGCATGTTGCCTATCGAGTATATTACTCAGAATTTGTTCTATCTAATTTCTTTCTAGTCCACAAATACCCAAATGAATATATGTCTGCACCCAGGATGGCATCAAATTTTCTTTGCATGTGAAATGACAAGCTAGCATTCTCTGTAATTTCATTTAGCTCTGTGGCTAACACCATATCAAAATGAAGTTCAAGGACTCTCCTAGAAGGGGTTGAAGCAGACTGACCTTTCCGATGAGTAACCCCATGACCTCTAGATTGCCCCCTGACCTCGCATGCATCACCATCTTGAGGAGAGCCAGTGCTGAAATCTTGATGTACTTGAAATAATGATTGCTAAGGAAATCAAAAAAGGTTACAATGTTTATCAACTTTTTGAAAACGTCCATCCCAAATCTCAAATCCTAATCTTATATTTGGTACAGTACTTTGATAATTTGCAAACTTATCTGATCTGAGCGACCCTCTTAACCATGTTAGTCAGGTGAGTGAAACATGTATTACAAATTTTAGACCTATCCCTGGAACTACAGGGCTCATCGTTCTCCATAGATAAGAATACAGATGTGGAATGACAAGCCCCACTGTTGAAGGTATAGGCCTTCTCCAAATTCCCAGCGTGCCCAGTCACCATGATGTCACTACAGCCTGATAATGCATCACAAAGCTAGGGGCTTCATTCCCCCTTCGTGCCTTTGCACTATTGCACATTATGGACAAATGCAAGTCCCTGGATGTCGACCGACTGTGCACGAATTTAAACACAATGAAAAGATGTTTCGTGTTTTATTGTGCAGAGATATTTCTCTTCCATTTTAATGATATGACTTTGATGTAAACCACTTTTTGGACTTAATCTTTATAATTGTTATACAATTCGCCTTTCAAAATGAATTCATTCTATTTTTGTCTGTACATTATGGAAGCTGAATACGTGTTTGGATATTTAATTAAGCCCGTTTCCCTGTACATTTTGTATTTGTAGGTTTTCAGTGTAATGTATTCACCATGTTATGTTTGATTTTGTTCCTATTTATTTTATGAAAAAGTCATTTTGTAGTTTTGATGTGAGGGGTCCTTTGGAAAGCAGTTTAAGTTAAGCTGAAAGGTCGGCTTAATTGCAGAATGCCCCCCACATCACATGATCAACCTCATAGCCAGGTACAGGTCAAAGTGTGACATTCTTCTCAAGGAATTTTCACCTCGTACCCACGTAATGAGTCATTCCAGGGGTCGTTTTTTGGGGTGGCGGGGTATTCTGCAATTGCTCTGAAAAGTCTACCCTCATTAAAGATTACACTAAACAAATAACTAAATCAAAAGTGTGCATCAAAGATCTGCATCATGTGTACCCCTAGAACACAGGGGTTCGTCATCTGCCATGCTCTCCTCATGGGAGCGCAGTGGACATGGCAGAGGATGAACCCAGCACTTGGGACGCATCATCGTCATAAATGGGACGCATCATCGTAATAAAAGATACATTTTTAAACAATTCTCACGGTCGGACATCCAGGAACTTCTGTACATTACTAAATAGCATGAAGGGTAAATCTGCCCCTTTGCCATGTGTTAAAGGCCTACTAGTCACTATATGAAAGTTACAAATGTACATCTTGCTGACCACGAGAATGACATCATCAGACATGGGCTAGGCCTAGAAAGATTTAACTTCATGTACATTAATGACAGGTGGAAACAAATGAATCCAATACGTTTCCTTTCAGGGTGATAACTGTGGACAAAAAAATCAAAATCCCTTCATTTTCTTTACAGCCCTCCCCCCACTGGCACTAACGTTGGATCCGCCCACTGCACTCACTCTTTCGTCCACGGTTTTGCTGACAGGATTTCTTGTTGCTGTTTTTTGTCGTATTTGTAGATTTCGTCCATGTTTTGTATAGTTTCGATGCTATTCGTCATCTCCCACGTCTTCTGTGCCATTCCACTGTCCATTTTGAAGACTATACTCACGAGTTTCCCGCAAAATGCCACACTTATCCAAGACCATCACCAACAACACTTGGCAAAAAAATACTGAGTAGCTGTTCACTGAAGTTCGCCAATTGAGGGCTCTCTGGTTATCAATCATATGGCACGCGAAATCAAACAAAATTGAAGCAAGCTCGATATTTATAGGTCAAGGACTTGCAAAGTGGTCATAATTCACAAGAGCCTTGGCCTTGTCTTTAATGCTGAGCAGAAGTTCTTTTCCTGCATGCGGTCTTTAAAATGTTAACATAATTATTATATGCACAGGACACTGAACAAAACAAACTCAGGTTTGGGGGGTGGAAAACATAAGTTAATTATTATTTCCATTAGATTTGGAAATAAAGGACTTGACCAACAGAGAGGGGAGGGGACTACAGCAAAGGTGGGGGAGGGGCAGGGTGGGGGGAGGTGTTTTGATAACTTCCCAAAAACAGCACAAGTTCCTCGATCCCCACATCCTTGGTGAAAAAGCCATCTTCAGAGACACAGAACAGACAGATGTCAGAGTTCATTCATCCATTTAAGCAAATCAGCAATTTATTCAATATATATCCTCCAGCATTATAGGAACTCATTGTGTCCCCAGGAATAATGTACAAAGCAATTATATGTATTCTGTAAACAACTCTATACGGTACACTACATACACCAAGGATAAAAATACTCTCCTAGCCTGGTAGCTGCCTCCCTAAATGCTACGGAACAATAAGGAAGGCCCCATCGAGCCACAAGAGGCTAAATTCATGACTACAACTGTGTTAATTGAAGTGTTCAAGTTGTGCAGGTTCTGGCCCTATGTGGGTTGAATAAGACACTATGATCATTTTGGCCTGTTAATTAGTATAATTAAACTAAACCTTCGAGATCAGATACGGGCAAACAAAAAAACTTCCAATCTTGTGTATAAGTTTCCCATAACTTCTCCAAGTTTAATCAACATAAAACAAGCCCCCACAATTCACAGAAAATCCATTGCACCAAAACTAATACACCTTCAGTGCATCAATCAACACATTGTTCTAAGCATGGGGTGTGGCACGTCAACAAGTACATCATATCCAGAACCAAATGGTCACATGACACTAATCTCATGATCAGCAGTCATGTGACACAGAGTTTATGGTCAGTACATTCAGTGCTTAAGCCCGGGCAAAGACAATGATGTATCACATAACTTAGTAATAGCCTATGTATCCTACATTTCTATACCACTTTTCAGAAATTATCTTTTAAAAGATCTTGGTCACAACCCTGTGCTGATTTTCCAAATTTCATCAGAATTAAACTGACTGGAAACAGACTGAAGATGGAGGAAAAGGACTCAACAAAGTATGTAAATCCACTGGACAATCAGCTCCATCATTGGTCAGTTACATATTGAAACTTGCTGAATGACAAAAGTTGGACGAGATAAAGACACGAACGAGGTCCTTCAATCAGGAACCTCCAGCTGAATCCATTTTCCCCCACAATGGCCAAGAATACAAGTTCAGGCTCCACATACAATAATTATACTTCTTTTTGGCGGTGGCGTGCTATTGAAGCTCTCTAAACTAAAGCTAAATTACTCGACATGACTCAACACAAAGGGCTGCTGATGGTTCCACGAATACAGGCATGACATGAACTAAAGTTACAGAACTTGTAGAGGACTGGTAATTGGACAGGATTTAGCAACGTTTACGCTGCTCGTTTTGTACCAGAAAATATTCCCATGTCTGAAGAGTCTTTCCAAAGAAACATCAGATGTGGGGGGGTGGGAATGCTATTGTGTAATTAAGGACATCTCCGTGAACACAAGTAGGAGTATGACAAGTTTACACTGACTTTGGTCATGTAGTTGGAACCAGAATATGTACCGTGCATGTGGTGTTAAAACTTTCAAATTTCAAAACTACTTCCAGAAAACAATTACTCTGTGGATCAACATTTACACATTTCAGGCCAAGAATGCACAATTTGGTAAGCTTTCAACCAACAAGTCACTGTTCTGTACGGCAGGAATCAACCATGTGGTAAATCAACTTCCTTTTAACAACAATACAGTGAAGTTTATAGAAAATTTATGGAAAACAAGGAAAGTACATGTACACACTCATTAATATTAGGTTTTTTTCCACTTAAGCAATTCACAATATTTTATGCATTTTTCTCTCAACCACAGCTCACATCAATCAGGCAAGTTTGACTCTAACATCTCAGACACACGATGACAAAAAGCACAATAACCTTCCAGAAAAAGAAAAAATTCAAGACTTACGATAACAAAAACTGCCGATTGAAAAGTTCAACATCAACACTGACATTACAATTCAATGGTAACTTTTCACCGTCATAGTTTTGAGCTGCAGAAATGACACCACTTACTATCATGTTTACCCTCCTGATAATGTGCCCGCCCTTTTTTCACTACAAGCTCCGCCCATTCCCCATTAAACAGTTCCCACATTAACACACTGACTAGTTTCAAACAACAAACATGACAGCAGCAAGAAAACCAATATGAGGGCACAACATCTGAATGTTTTAAAAACAGACACCAAAAGCACGATTACCCAGTAAGACATATCTTAAAAAACTGACAATATTCTAAAACACGGAGTTTAGGATACAATAAGTTTGAACGAAATCCACCACATATTTTACATGCACACAAGTAGAGTCACTACGTGTTTACAACACAAAGACAATTTTACAGCGTACAGTTTCTCAGGAGAGAAAAAAAAAAATTCCGTCCAACTCTTCCTTCATGATATCCAACTCTAGCTTGATTTTCGTGTCTGTTGTTTGTTTGTTTGTTTTTTTAAAAGATTTTCAACCTTTGAAATTCTGAATACTGACAAAGCCAAAAAAGGTAAAACGTAAGGGGACTGATGCACAGATTCACCGCATCCATTCTACACAAACGCACCAATAAACTTCTGTGGCACTTTCGACTTGCGCTGTCTTTCTGGACCCGCGCTGTGGGGATAGCTGATGTCATTGGCAGAGGTTTGAGAGAGAGAGAGATATCTAGACAACATGTCTGTTCCTCTAGACGCCTACAAGGAGAAAGCTCAGGTTGGACACCAGTCTTGAAGATGTTGTCCAACCTGGCCTATCCAGGAGATAATTAGTTTTGTATGTTCAATAAAGATTACTCTTCACATTCTCAAGAAACGTCATTTTCGGCCAAAAATAATCATAGATAACTGTCCGTTGCAACCAAACCAACAGCTGGTGGTCTAAATAAAGCTATAGAAATGTTCTCCTTTTCCCCCGGTTTCTTTTTATTTGGGAGACAGATCTATACAGATTTAATTTGATTTTTCTCAATTTATCCCACTACATTACTCTCAGTTGATAAATGAAACCTAACAAAAGCAAATATTTGAGTGAAGGTTAATTACAGTAACACCCATAAGCATCATATCAATGGCCACTGCTCCAGACAAAGGTCAAAGGTCAGCCTTGGGGTTACAGGTCATGGGTACAATCTCAATAAAATTAACAAACAATTATACACAACCTAATTATAAACAAAAAATTCCATGACTGAGTAGTGAGTTCTTCTAGCATTCTATACATGGCTTTGGCTTCTATCATGCTGATGCCATTTTGGTCTGGTTCCAAGACACCTAAGGCATCACCATCCTACAGTGGCCAAAGAGTGATACTGTGCTCACAGACTGTGCCAACAAGCCTTGCCCAGTCCCTTTTTTGTTGTTCCTTTGATTTTGGCTCTGGCTCCAGAGTACAGAGCCGACGGAAAATTTACGGCTCTTTGTCTATTAACATTATTTCAGAGGCCTTTTTAAAAGCAATCTGAGTGAGCCCCATGCCGAGTTGCAGCGTGTCACAGCCTTTATTGGTTAATCAAGAACCAACGTTTGAGCTGAGCTATCATTCCAAAATCTACAGATGAGCTTGCTTACAGCATCAACGATTTGCTGCTTCTTTAAAAAGTAGGGCTGTCCACCATAAGTCATCCAATCAAAAAATTTCCAGAACACCATGTTCAGTATGTTTTGAAGAGGCCCAGTGGCATCCTTCTAAATGACACATTTCACGAGGATCAACACAACATTTGCACTAGTGCTTAAGTTTAGCGGAACAGTTAGTGAGAAAAAGTTCTAAGTGATATTTGGTAGTTTTCAACCCCCCCCCCAAAAAAAATAAAAGTCCAAGAAATGATTCCTCAAGGTGAATGAGGAAATTAAGGTGTGGGAAAAAACCTTTTGTCTAGACAAAGAAATATGCCGCAAACAGGCATGATCACTCCGGGAACACCCTTGTTAAACCATGCAACAACATGCCACAAATACTGTTTCAACACTAAGCCTCCATCTTGTAGAATAACTCATAACCATCAAGTGAACTGTTGACACTTTTCACTAGAAATTACTGACCAGCAGTTGGCTAAACACAGTTACAGTGACAGGGATAAATGTGCAACAGGTGTCTGCTTTCAGGAACAATGATGCTGTGAACATATGCACAGCTAATACTAAGTACTTGAGGTGATGTTCTTCTGAGTGGCACGACGGCCCTTAACTTGCAATATGGACTCTCACACCCCCCCTTCCCCCGGGAAAACAACTTCTCAAATATTTTCAGACATTTTGTTGTAAACTAAGCAAACTATTTGACTGTGTTGTCTGAAATATAATAAAGTGCACTCTATTTAATTACGTTTTGGGGAACCTGTCAAACTTTTTCATCTTCAAGAAATTGTTTGTGTACTTTGATGGTGCTAACTTGTGCTTGCTCAGCATGTGACTGTTATCTATGACAAGGCCCGCGTTTGACACTAGGTTTGCTGTGTGCACACATCCCCACAACAAATACATTTGCCGTTTTGGACATTGTGCACGATGGGCTCAAAACCAAAGATCGTCGCGTAGCGGCGCAAGATGGCGAACTTCACCGTGAATACACGTAAAACATTGTAATCGCATGGGCGCCATTTGAGCAAGCGATACGCCTGGGCAATGCACATTAATGCGCAGGCACCAGGCACGTGCAACTGGTGAGCCTGCACCTAAGCATTACCGTAAACCGCACAGGCGTATCACTTGCTCAAATGGCGCCCATGGTAATTACACCTTTTGGGCAGAGTTATCCAGTGCTTTACAATCTTTGCTCAAAACCAACAATAGATTCAGAGATACCGGATTTCTGGATGTATGACATATAGGCCAACTTCCAAAACATATCCAAAAATTTGTTGTTTTTTTTTGTTGTTTTTTTTCTTGTCAAGAAACTTTCAGTTTCAGTTTTGCTATTACACAAACAAGGAAACAAAAAAAAGAGCAGGATCTGACATGAACTGTGTGACACTGACCGCACTTCTCCCTAAATGTCATTTCCTTTTACAATCATTTGCTGGCGCTAATTTTTGGTGACAGGTTTCAGCTAACCTTCAATGCTTCACACACTGAAGACCATGTCAAATTTCTGAAGGAGGGAAGTGAATCAACCTCGTTGTTTTTTTTTTTTTAAGCCTTTGCATTTGAAAGAATGAATATCATTAATGCTATCTACTTTTGTCCAATCAAAACGCTGTTTTGACATGCAAGTTTGTCCTGGAGAAATGGCAAAATCGTGGAAGAAAAAAAAAAACTCCAAACACCAAGTGCAGCAGTTGAATCCTTTACTGAGTAAGAAAACACCTGAAATTACATTCACAAATTGAACCGTGCGGACAAGAAGTTTGGACAGAGAAGTATGTTAAAGATGTACAAGTACAGAAATCTTTGTATGTGCAAATGGACTAACAAGACTCTAGTCCAAATCCTAGTCCTTTTGCAAATGCCTAGACACGTATTAATACCTTTTTTGTATCGGTGTGTAAAGCCTGAAGTCCAAACACTGTCAAGTGTGAGGGGCTAACGGTGGAGACATTTCAACTACTGTGTAATCTTATCTTTATGAATATGTAGATCTCAGAAAAGGACTCAACTGTAAGTTGGTAACTAGATAGTTATTCGCATGTCTTAAGTCCCCAGTTCCAACATGATTTGTTTGTTGTAAAAGGTATCGGACTGTTGAAGTACAGCAGCAGTGGTTAATCAGTTAATCGATTAATAAATGTACAGTATTTGTAATACAATAATCATTGCAGGTGATTAATCTGTGTTGCCTTTGGTAGATTGGCGCTTGATGAAATGGAGACACAGCAACACCAATGACAAGCTGTTTTTTTTTCCCACTCGCAAGAAGACAATGGGTGACGACAGGCAACTGGAGCATTGTGCAAGCTGCCGGAACACGGTGCCGAGTGTGCCGAGCAGCAGCAGAATACAGAAGAGGGGTGTGTGAGGTCAAAAGAGGATGACGGGTCTTTGGCCACAGGTAGTATTGACCCGATCCTGCTGTCTCGCGTGGTGACATTCGTGCCCGGTCGAGCCACTCATGAGCAAGTGGAAAAGTTAGCAGCGACAGCTGCAACAATGGAAAAGAAGATGCTACAGTATCGAAGACATCTTCAGCACCACAATGGACATCTCACCTCAGACAAAAAAAAATTAAAAGAACCAACATTTCCCTATCAGCTTGTCGGCATCTGAACTGAGAGCAGTCAAATGTTTAACTCGCAACCAAATGCAAAACAGACAGATCCAGCGGACAATTTCCGCAAGTAGGTGTAAAGGCGGCCCTCACTTCCTAAAGATGTGCCTAAAGCCCAGGAACGTATTGAAGAAAAAGTCCAGCGTGCCTATCGTATTGGACAGGGCATTGTGCTCGCATGACGTCCATGTGGCATTCCACGGCAGTGGCCGTATGTCAACTGACACATTGATATAGAGCGGTTCTACTGTAATCCTGGGCACAGAGTACCATATGTTATACAGTCCATCGCTGTTGACGCGCTCTCGACCGTGCCTCAGTAAACAGTGCCTAGAGGGAAAAGCAAAAGACACATCTGAATCATTAATGGAATCTTTGAAGGATACAAGACAAACAACTACAGCAGACCTGCAAGTTGCCACAAGCTAGACAACCGGACATAATTTATGTTATTAAGCAGCTGTTACAGTGAGAAACGGGTGATTTCAAAGGTATGAAAGTTATTCTCAAAGCCAGGTATTGACCAAAATTCACCAAGCAATTCAGAGCAGACTAATGCCTGGTACTGTAATACACACTGTCAAATTCTCAGTCTTCCAAGGCCATCACGACCCAGTCAAGTCTCCCAAGTCAGGTATAAAGCTGTTTGGCTTAGCCAAAACAAAAAGCCCTCTTTTGTTTTCATCACCATTCTGGTAATTAGGACACGCGGCCTAGTGGGTTAGGGTTTGCAGTTTCTGATCATGGGGTCGGGGGTTCGAATCCAGCTGGTGGCAGCAAGTCAGGATCGTGGGCAAGTCACTTGACCCACTGGGGTGGGGAAAGGGGCAAGCGGACACAGCGAATAGCCAAACGTGACGCCGGCCTCGCCTTTGACGGCCGGCCAGAGACTCACCTCACTTTGTTACTCTCCGACTGCTTGTGGTCTTGCCGTATGGTGTTGTAGTACCCCACCTCCCCCACCGGTCGGGAGCGGTTGTAGCCGTGGAGGAGGATGCGGCTGTAGATGGCGTCGTCCTCCACTCCCCAGCCCCAGTAGACGTTGGGAAAACCGTTGATCACCTCCATCTGCTTCCGCGTCACGCCGAACACTTGGCCAAACATGTCCGGGTACAGAATTCTGGAGGGGGGGGGAATCAAAATCACGATAATGACCACCTGTTTCCCGCCATAAAAAAAGAATGTGGATTCTGATGACCTTTGATGAGATCTTCACCAACATCCAGAAATGCTACATGAATCCGTGTAAGCAACATTATGTAAAAAGCTTTATGTTTCAGCACAAATCAAGATCTGAGCACTTCTTCCACAAAGAGTACCTGGTAAGATATTTCAAATATTGTACAACGTAAAGATGTTTTTGACAAATTATTTTTCCCACGTTTTCAGGCTAGTCATTTTCCAAACCACAAGAGCTAGGGAATGACATTACACATACAGGCAGAACCAGAGTTAGTACAAAATGAATGAGTCTGGAAAAAAATTTCATCAAAACCACAAAAACTCTAAGTTTCATGGCACATTAGCAAATACCGACTTTCAAATGAAATCGCTCTGTACAACGGCACACTTGGTTTGCTTGATAATGACTAAACAAAGGCACAGACAAACGCGTTACGGCAAGGTCAGAGATCAAGGACGGGACTCACTTGTAATCCCAGGTGTCTTCCCCAGACATGAAATGACGCGGCATCTCGCCACAGCCATAGTAGTTTGCATAGCTGAGCGGCACATGGTCCACGTCATGATGGACGACACAGTCCCAGTCTTGGAATCGCAGCGACTCTAAAAACCCTACGTTCATGAGGAAAGCCTTGTTGAACGGCTCATTATTATTCTGCAGAGGGATAAATTTAAAAAAAACAAAAGACGAGTTGTTCCCGATATTCTGGCAACTGAAATACTTCTTGAACTGTTTGATCGAAGAAGAAAAGTTCAACAAAAGTGGAAGCTGCAGGAAACAAAGGACGAAAACCAACATCACCTGTATATATACTGGTGGTGAGCATTTGTTTACAGGGAATTTACGCATGCTTTCCTGATAAATCTGCAACCATTGCCGGAGGGAAATGATCAAAAGGGTAAGTGGGCAATTGGTGGTATCAAGCGAGGAAAAGGAATACGTCCTCTTCACTCTAACCCTCACCCTCCAAAATGTGGAGCAATAACCCTCAGTGTGAAAACACATTCATGCTTTTTATACAAAAGTGGACAAAGCACTGTAAAGCCTTTGCACATGAGTAGGACGTATCTTTACGCCTTGTGAAATGCACAGGTGAATGTGGATGCAGATTCTTGCCACGGGATGTCTTGTTCCCATTGGCAATTTTTTCAATGTGCAATGTATGGTACCACCAGAGGGCTAAATGTGTATCTGACGATACATTATGCAGCATGTGCAGAAAGCCAATATGCACATAACAATTAATCTCAAAATGCAAAATGTGAAATCCGACAGTGAGTAGCGCAACTTAATAGGCTAAATGTTTATACCGTAAATTGAGGATTACTGTTACTGATTAAATTCGGAGATGAGTAAGATAAAACACCTCGACAACTCTCACCCCCGTATGAATCTGAAAAAGAAAATTGCACAATGCCTCAATCAATTTGTCTCCTGCATGTACCGGGTATATGCACAGTGGTGAAAGTGTTTTTCTATGATCATGTACAAGGAAAACATATGGCACAATAACTCATCACTGGTTTGTTTTGTTTTCGTTTGTTTTGTTTTGATTAATCCTGCAATCCACAGTGACACGCATCTCTTCGTCGAGGTTCAACCGTGATTGCATATAATCATTATGGAGGCGATCTCGCCTCTGTATGCTCTCAGGTTCAGTCTGAGTCGGGCCTTTTCAGAGAAAGCCAGCAACTGTCCATGCAGACAGTTCCTTCTGGCGCATGAGTCACAGAAAACTTCAGATAAGGGCAGCGTGCCCTTTGCAGTGCAGATTGTGTGTGTGTGTGTGTGAGCGGTCAAGAAAGGTTTGGGTGCATGGGGCTCCAAAAAAAGTTTGTTGACCACATGAGTCACTCCAGAGACGGACGTAGCTGGTTATAAGTGTTTAGAGTGCATGGAAACACCAACCATCAACAACCCCAAAAGAATTATTCGACGACGTGTACATGTACGTGTTTCCCGTGCACATTAAACCGCAAGGTCGGCAGTGCTTTCCTAGCAGCTTCCTGTCCAGATTTTAAAGTCAAGTCAGACTTTTGAGTTAGTCTCTCGTACCTTGGAATGTTCATGGCAAAAATAAAAAACAGTCTTGGCCAACCAATCATTTGAACTCCCAAGAATTCCAACAATATTTATCTACTGCCGCACAGGAATCAAATGCTCCTCGGTATATTCTGAACAGCACATATCAGCAGAGAGGCTCTCTTTTCATTTATCTAGCAAATTTTTCTCCAAAAATCTTCCATGATTTTGGTACAGTAGCTCTGGAGAAAAAGATCTGGCTACTGAAACAATCTTGTTTAGGTCCTATTTGGAACTTGAGAACATCAGACGGATCCCGATTCTTGTTTGCCGCATGGTAACCTACAGTGAGTATCACAGCTTTATCTACCCACCTGTTCAATGATATAAATACCAAACTCTAGGAGCTGTTTCTTTAGAAAAGGCACTAGATGACGAAGGAAGATGGGCAGTTGGGTGAAGCGATCCCGGAATGGAACCACAACGGCTACCTGTGGGATAAAGGACCGGCAAAACAAAGACACCACAGAAAGTGAATAAATTTTCTTTACCTTTTTGTTGTATAATGCTTATTTTCTGGCAAAAACTGCAAATCTCACCTGTCCAGTCACAGATTCCCCCCCCCCCAAATTGGATATGAAAGTTTTAAAAATGCAAGCCTAGTGTAACTTTCTGGTTTTCCTCCAGACGCATAAAGCTTTGTTGTCAGTGTCTCCGATCATTCGCAGCACATCCCATGAACGAGCACATTTCACGTCGATCGCCCTACGCTGTCATCCTGAATGTATGCATCCAATTTTTTTAACAGGCAGTAGGAAAAAAAAAATAAGACGTACCTTCCAACGCGGTACACAATGCCTCGGTTTCCAATGTCCCCCAGGTGTATATATATAATCATCTAAGGTGATGGAGCTTCGCAAACATGTCCTGCCCCGCCTTGACACGTCCGACAGAACGTTCCGTGTCGTCTCGTCGACGGCGCCCTGCGCTTCTTTGTTTAAATGCCGTATTTTGGCAAAAGTTCGTTTGCTGAAGATCTCCCTGTTGACTACGTCTATGCTCACGCCTGAGAAATTGAGTTGCACCTTATCATCTGCTGGAGGAACGTGAGACGGGGGAAAGGGGGTGTCAGAAAAAAAACAAACCAAACAGCAACAGGTGTTTGAAAGAAAGTTTCAAACGAAAGCAGCGGCAACAACAGTAGATGTTTCACGAGTATCTTTTCCGTGGATTGATGCATCTGTGGAAATTCCATATGTTCAAAATATTGGAACAGCACAACTGTTCAGATTGCATTTTGTGGGAATTGTGAGTATATACACATGTGTAGGACTTCCACATAAAGTTTACAATATTACATACGACATGTACATTGTCCGTGTGTAGTAATGAGCTTACAGAAGTCTACACAGTGAAATGAAATGAAATCATTCAACAACAGTAGCAGGACACATGTGCACAGTATTCATGTTCCCCTTTACTCAGAGAAAAAAAGCGAAGATATGGGGAAATGTGCTACGGGATCAAAAGTTACGCTTGACTTCACAAAACCAAATATCAGCAGCCACAGCTTTTACCAGAGTTGTAATGACTCGAGTCGAGTCCGACTCGAGTTGCATTTTTGGGTGACTCGACTCGAGTCTCTGCTGTAAAAAGACTCGACTCGAGTCACAAAAATCGGCGACTCATTACAATTCTGGCTTTTACTTGCATGGATCCAGTGCAAAAGGGATTAAGGAAATTCCTCGAGGCTACAGACAAGGTCAGGACATTTGGCAACAACAGGAAGGATGCCGTTAAATGTTCCGAGTTGTTCCGAGTTTTTAACTGGTACATGTATAAATGTGTGGGAATTCTCTGCGGGTAGTTGACGGTGATTAATGCACGTCATGATTCTCGGACACCCTAAATCTGTACGTGCAGATTGACATGTCATGTACATGTACCATATCTGCACATGTATGCACAGTTTTGGTAACAGGAAACACCGTAAGCAGAGTAAATTGCAAAACTGGGCGCTTCATCAGGGCTGACCGAATTGAGGCAGCGTTTGCTTGTGTGACAGGGCTGTGCAGACTGGCGCGCATTGTGTATGATCCCTCATCCATGTGGGGTCACGCAGTGCGACATTGCACAGCAATTTAGAACCTACTGACACATGTTAATGAACACAATAAATCTGTGTTAAGTGGATTTGGGGAGCACTGAGACTTGGGTTGGGTAGGGTTGTGCCGAATATCCGATCGATTATTGAATATTCAATTATTATTTTCTGAATTGGAATATTCAAATGCAAAATTGATAGAAAAGAAGGGAGATTTTTCTTTTGTTTTGAACAACATGAGAGAAGTTGCACTACGGAGACCTGTTTCAAGCATATTCAAATTATATTTCAAGCATGTTTCAAGCATATTCATGTATTTACATACATGCAGGTAGTTGCGTAAAATCTCTCATCCCCTTATGGTCAGAACAGATACACTGTACCATATATATACAATGTACATGTACAGTACCAGTGCTCACTTGCCTGTATGATGTTGGCATCACTGCGTGAACACCAAACCGGCTATAATGACCGACTGGTTGGTTACACCAACCAATTGATTCCCGCATTCCAATCAATAGTTTGGGTTCCCAAGTTATGCATGGCCCATAACCATTCGACGGCCGCGTTACCGTCTTGTTGACAGCCTGTCCCGGTTTATTTTCCTGACCGTATTGAAGGCCCCTTGAGGGAAACGAACGTATACGTGTGGAGCTTCTTCGCGTGCACCGTGCACTCTACCACACAAACATGTATAACGTGTCCTGTTTTCAAGGCTAATGTACACTTAGTTCTGCGGATGATTATTGCCACATTTGGAACCAAAAACAAGCACATCTTGTCTTGTACCGGTAACATCCCATTTAACAGATTACAATAAATAACATACATGTACATGAGGCTTCTTGAGACATGACTGAAAAATGGCATCCATTTGGACATGGTCTGGCGACACACCACATAAGCTCAAAACCAAAAGTCGTCGCATCTGTGGATGTTTTTCACTCTACTAGACAAAGGCAACGAGAAATGACATGCAATCTAAGAGACCTGCTGTTAGATTTCCCATGCAAGTGTATTCGAACTGCCAGTTATTAAAACGATCAATCATTCCCAATTCTTGCATCCCGATAATTTATTGTATACATGTACATGTACTTCAACCATACAAAGAATAAATGTGATGCACACCGTATAAAACGTCAGATTTTTTCATCAAATTTGTGATGCTTCTTTTCAATATTCCTCGGGTTAATGCTGTACATGTGTACAGTTTTTTTAATCATCTGATCACACATGTTCAATAGTAAATTCTGTGAGTCATGAGCAGAACTATCTCACATTTGCATTAATGCTGAATAGGCAGTTATCAGCAGCTCTATTTTTCCTAGAGGGACAGCCACTTGGGAAAGAGGTGAGATTACGGTGGAAATGCCATAAATCTAAGTAGTGGCAGGGAAAAGACACAGGTCTTGACAAATCAGGCAAAAATATATATCAGATCCAATCACATACATAATGGGAATAACAGTCCCGGTAATATTTCCCAGACACTAACAATTCAACAAGTCGACTGCATGTGTCAAAGAATTTTCAGTCTGTGGCCTTGGGGACCATCTCAGTAAAGTGTACGTGTAAATGCACCAACTAGCATTCCGAACCCCAGAAACTAGATTTCATTGCATGAAATTTGTATGGAGGAACCAAGAACAGTTCTCTGAGTCCACAAGCAGAAGTCTGGTCCACGCTTTACTTATTCGAACGTGTACCCCGCAGATTGGCATAAATTATTGGACAAATCTGTACATGAACAGCACTTGGAACGGCGTGCCAATCTCAAAACGCATGCTCCTGCTTGGTCCAAAATTATCCGCCCTGAGCGGTGATGAGAGAGGGAGCAATTTCCCCAGCAAGGGAGACTCCTTTGGGAACTTAGCTGGTTCACTCATGACTGTGAAATGCACGCATTATAGTCGTGTTTCTACCCCCCCCTCCCAAAAATTGAACACTCCCGACCAAGGTGACGCTTTTCAACCGATGAAGGGGGAAGGGGGAAGGGGGGTTGTTCCTCCTCCGGGCGGACAGAGTTGCTAAGAACGTTTGCGCAGCAGGTTTCTATGCTGAGCACATCTTTGTTTTCCAATACAGTCGTTCCGGCCAAATTAGCCCTAGTATACCGGTAAATATGCTCCTTTTTTTGTTTTTTTGACGTGTAAATGGAACTGGCGGTGGAGGAAGTTGAAACTACGGTTGCTGGCATTACAGACGGCAACATCCTTTCACTTGAAGCATGAAACCGGCAATTATTATTTTTTTTTAATTTTTTGGCGACCAAGTGTGTAATAGATAACTTGCCCAGTCGGGGCCTCTCCTCGTACTTAACGCTCACCTGGGCTGACAAAGGTAGGTTGTTGGCACACTTCTCCTACTCTGCTGATGCTGTCTTTCTCTATTGACGTTTTACCTGCAGTGTCATAGAAATGTGAAAAGGAAAAAAGAAAAAGAGACGCCTCTGATGAAAACAAAATTAACAATAATGGCTTGATTGGTTGCCGTGGTTACTGCCAAAGTTTGGGATTACACGTAACAAAAGGCAATGCACGGTTAACAATTACTGCACAAGAGCTCCCTCATTAAGTACCGGGTATGTACTTTATCGAGTGATCAATGAAAGAGATCCCAAGCAACGTTTGAAGTTGAATTCTCTTTTTTTTAACCCTAACCCTGGGATGCGTGTAATTCATATTGAAACTGGAGGATTGAGGACTGTTGGCATGGTTGGATTTAATACATGTAACAGGTTCTGCCTTTGTGAAGTCTATTTCCCATAGTCTCTGTTGGTTTGATGTACACACATAATTCCCTATGTTTGTAAGAAATGGACCCTACAAATGGATTTGACTTTCCTTCACATGCCACCACCTCCCTGTCTGGTCTCTATTACTCTCCGTTCCTTAGATTTCCCAGCTTTTGGAACGTTTTCCACCTTCCAACAAGAAGGACTCTGCTGTCACTAACTCCCTCATTTTCAGAGAGAGAGAGAGATGTATCAGTCCGTCTTTCCATTAATTTTTTCCCAGTATATGCCATCACGAGTCGACTATTAAACATGTACAAAACGCTGGTTGCCAATATTGACAGTAATTTAGTTTTGTTTTCTCTGTATTTGTTATTGTTGACATATGTACAGGAACACATGCCAGCAGGTGACAGTATCAAATCTACTTTTGCCTTGCCAGATCCACGTACATGTACATATAGATGTACGCGGACCAGTACTTTCGTTGCATTATCTGTTTGTTTCTGACGATTTCTCACACTTGTTAATGGCTTCCCACCGTGTCTTGTAACAGGTGTTATCCTTATTGTACATGCACATGTAGAGTACGTTGTTTTCCATTCTGGGTCAATTTATCGCTATCTTTTTTCTCATTCGGAGTTTTCATAAATGTTCAAGGCGACAAGGCACATGTCCGAATATAGATGTTATGCAGACCCAAAACATAACGGGGACAATTTATGCTGTGCATGTGTGTGTGCTGGTCACGTTTTGCCATATAAACCTGTTCAAAACTGTATGATCACGTTCATAGAATACTGACTCCATATGGTCAACTCCAGAGGCTGAACCGAATATGGGGACGAGGCCTCAAATGGAGGTATATGCCTAAGAAATGAACAGCCCGTATATTCTTCCTCATCTGGGCGAAAATTCATGTCTTTACGGAGATCTATTAGTTAATCAGAACTAGTCAACAGCAGAGGAAATGTCCGGAGAAAAAGACAATGTTTGGTTTGATAGATGTCTTGTGGGTGTACAACTGTTGAAAACAAAATCCAAAAGCTGTCTCCATGGTAATGAAATTACGCTCCATCATCCCTGCACAGCAACGAGATCCCATTTAAAATTAGCCAAATTCTGTAACCATGACAACTGCAGCATGCTATGTTGGAGAAACACTGTAGATGATTATAAACCATATCATGTATCAGTAGTTCTAGACCAGCCATTGGTAAATTCCTATGACATACCCCCATGTGAGAGTGAGGTAATGTGTGGTAAAAGGGTGAGCTGTTTTCGACGCACAATGTAATGGGAACAAGATTGTTAACCATGATACGGGTAGTCATCCGTCCCTATGCTTGTATCAATACAGGACTTCGGTAATAGGTTCTACTTTGGCATTGGGCTATGCCGATGATGAACGTCGGTCATCATCACAGGCAAGTCACATGTGTACCTATTTGCATAATCCTATTGTCCAAACAAACAAAAATGTTAAAGTGGTTGAATCCTCTTTATCAAGCATCACCATGGTTACATGATGATGCATTTGGAGACGCAAGTACATGTACCACTAAGACCTGGACAAACACGGTGAACAACCGTCCACGTGCCTATGACATCAAGCTGTGACAATGACAAACACATGAGTCACCAGAGCATGGCAATGCGACCAAGGCAAAATTAAATCAATCAATCAACTCTGCATTGAGACTTATTCACAGTTGTAACAAGACGATAAATTGGAGGACCAGGCTAGATGTCGCAGACTTCGCAAATACTGGTATTTCAGCAGAAAAAGTTCACCCATAAAACTCATTCCATCACCATTTTCAAATTGGTACGACAAAGAATGATGAGGTAATGCAATTTGAGGTCAGTGACGAGATTCACAACGCCAACAACAAACAACCGTGTGCTGGTCCGGCGTGACAATGAGGTCACGATGCTCAAAATAGAAGCTCTGTGCATGACTACATGGTGAGTATGCCACCTGCACAGTCATGGCCATTTTGGCCTCCGACTAACACTACCGCACTCACAATAGCCAACTTTACAGTACTGCTGCAGTGGTCTCAACTATGCAAGTATTAAGAGCTGGACCAAGAGAGGGCACTATTTTCTTTTGGTCGGAACTGAACTTCACTGGTTTGCGAATGACTAGGAAAAGCACGCATCACGGTGGCATCGCTACCAACAAATTAAACACTCCCAACCAACGCAGCTCTTTTCGACCAATGAGGGGGCGCTTCTGCTCAAGGCGGATACCCTCAAGGAGGAAACAAAAATATCACACGAAATAGAAATATCATAGCTTTGCCACAACAAACACATCTTTCTTTAAAGAAACTTTAAACACAGAGATCAACGGGAGGCACAAATGCATGTACTGCAAGGCACTTCATTCCAATGATGAAGACGTCCATGAGAAAATGATCAATCACCTCAGGAATTGCGAGGGTGGGAAACAACAAGCCAAGGAGACATACATGTAAGCAGATCTCAAGTGACTCGACGGGTTGTACAGAGTTACATGTAACAAATGAGTGTTAGTGTATCAGGAAGCTGAAGTTTGCAAGCGATGAAGAACCGGCAACAACAATTTCAGTAGAAGTAACAGTTTCAAAAAAAAGTGTCATGTGCGCTCTGTTCAACAAAGTCCAGCCAGATTTCCAAATATTTGTCCTGGCAAGGAGGAGCAAATTACCATAATCCTCAAGCCCGATTTATGATAATCTACAACTCAGTGCCCTTGCTCGCGCAGGCCTTCAGTTGACAGATTACACCGTTCAGGTCTCCAGCATGGGCAGACTACTGTACATGTAGCAAACTCCAGCATCAGAAGACTACATGTAGCATAGGGCAAGAATCTCCACAATTGCCTTCATCAGCTGGCAGAAGATCTTGTGGCACACTGAAACATTAGCCCAAACCCTGCATTTATCAATCAATTGCCCTGTCTGGTGTGTGACAGGTTGGATGAACCTCAGTTGGTGCTTTCATCCGAGGGGCAAATTCCTACAATTTTCTTCCAGATCCCAAGGAAAACATGTATGCTTTGACGTAGATCAACAAATGCCTGGTTCACATAAGCTCCAAGGCCACTTTGAATAAAAGGCAACATTCACACAAAGCTAAAACCACATTAGGTTACATCCAGGGTTCTTTTTTTTTCATTAATTAAAAATACATCATTGCTGAATAAAACATGCACAATTGGAGATGACTTTTTATGTAGCTCTTGCTGAAATACAAAGCATCCACCATGAAATACAGGTACCGGTAGTTACTTGCAATGTACATTTTGTACATTTGTAGTCTATCCACTGTCAACTGATCAGTGTCAATTGATCAGTGTCAATTCCACGAGTGGCATGCTCAACTCTTCAGAAAGCTTCTGAAATTAAAAAAGTGCTAACTTGTCCATCAGGGATGAGCTGAGGTTACAGTCTGGGCGCCAACGTACCGTATAATCAATTCAGAACTCGGAATCTTTTTTCTTGAGAAAACCAGCCACATGCTTATCTTAGATCTTTGGGTAGATTCAAGGAGCACCAGACACTTTGAAAGTGGGTCGACCCAAACGTGACTTTATGGGGAAAACTTGAGTCTACAGAGCTACAAGTGGGTCAATCTTCCTAACATTCTTCCTAGGCTGGATGCAAGATTTGCACGGGGCACTGTGTCTTCAACTTCAGTGTGGAGAGGGGGATATGGTGTGCTGTGTGACTAATTGCGAGCTTTGAGGTGCTAAATTAGTTGATACACGTGCGAGAACAATTTAGAAAATTCAGCGTTCATTGTTCCTGATCATGTGACCATGTGAACACAGTATTTAATACGAAATGTAACAAAATGAAACTTTCGTTATATTATTCTTTATAATTACATTAGTTACATGTTCATGTTTGACGTCTCCATCACTCCCAAATAAAATGACTGGACGTGCACGGAAAATCTTGTTGCACTTATTTCTTTGAGTACCTTGGAACAGGTCAGAAAACTTTTAAAGAGAAGGTAACCAACTACATGTACATGTAGGCTCAGAACTGAAGAAAGCTTAATCAGTACAGTTAGCACCTGGATTTTTAATCTGTTGCCTTCCAGGAAGCCAACGGAAGATTTACATGTACCGGTACACTGCAGGGTTGATGGCTGTTGATGTCAAGCCATGTGCTTCACTGAATGTCTTTTTTAATTAATTTACCAGCCCAAGTGATAAATTCCTACGGAGATGTGCCACATTTTCCCTAGTTTGTAAATAATAAACCATATCAACTGTTACCGATACGTGTACGAGTAGTTCTAGACCAGGCATTGGTAAATTCCTATGACATACCCCCATGTGAGAGTGAGGTAATGTGTGGTAAGTGGGTCAGGTGTTTTCGACGCACACTGTAATGGGAACAAGATTGTTAACCGTAATACAGGTAGTCATCCTCCCAATGCTTGTATCAATACAGGACTTCGGTAGTAGGTTCTACTTTGGCATTGGGCTATGCCGATGATGAACGTCGGTCATCATCACAGGCAAGTCACATGTGTACTATTTGCATAATCCTATTGTCCAAAACAAAAAAATGATAACTTGGTTGAATCGACTTTATCAAGCATCACCATGGTTACATGTACCATTAAGACCTGGGCGAACACGATAAATAGCTGTCCACGTGCCTATG